TAATAATAGAAAGAGTTTGCTTTTAGAGAGGACTTGTATTTGATCGCCCTCCTCGTAGCTTTGCTGCTCTCTTTTCCCCCAACGATTTATGGCTTCTTCCCTAATGAAAAAGTGTCCCACCTGTGTCAAAAATATCTCTCAGTCTGGCTGGCATGATACTGCTTATTTTACCTAGGAGAAACCCATTTAGTTCAGTCTTGTAAAATTTGGAAGGGCTTTACCGCTCTTACATTCAAGAATCACCAGTCTCTGCTTCAATCCTTTCTTTGGGAACAAGCCCTTTGGGCCTCAGATTCCCCTTCTAGGGTGATTTTGAGCACTCAAATGGATCAACCAGTGTTGCCAGAGCAAGCCCTGGATGCAGAGTCCGTTGCCTTGTCTTCCTCGAAACTACCATTGAAATGGATGAAGAAATTGGTGCACGGCAGCCGTAAACGCACAGCAACCCTCAATATTGAGGTGTCAAAGAAGAAAAAGAAACAGCAATCTGTTGGTGCTGAGGTTGGCATGGCTCCTTTGGATCCTCAACCATTGATTTGAGAGTCTACCTCTGTTCCTATTACCAACACCCAGTATACAGTCTCCGTCTCAGAGGGTGAATGCCTGAGACCCTGCAAAGTGTTGCCACCTCACTGAGAACACCACTGCCTGAGATCCCATTACAAGAGCAATCCTTGCCTTCACTCTCTGAGGATGGGTAAACATCGAAATTAAGATTCCTCTCCATTACCTGACAGTCCCCACAACCAAGGCACCGTGACAGGGAGAGCAGGAGGTCCAGATTGCGCTCATTTTCATGATCTCCACCATGCCGATATTGACCCCGCTATTCAAGATCTCAATAAACAAGCTCTCGATATAAGCTGGACTTAGCGAAGGTCCAGCCTGTCCACTCATGTGTCTGGTGGTGGCGGCAGCCTTGGTCAGCCTTCCAATTGCTCCCAGAGCACCACTCTCTTTCTGTTCATCTAGTCACTTGGCAGCTGTGCAGGGAGGCTCATCCTCCCTCCTCCTGCTTGGAGTTGGCTATACCCTATCTTGGATCTACAAGCTCTCAACAAATTCATCACCCCAAAGCATTTCCAGGTGGTGACACTAGAGTCCATTCACTCCCTGCTCCACCAGAAAACTGGTTTGTGTCTGTAGATCTCTACGAAGTATACTTCCACATTTTCATTTACCCATAGCACCTAAGTTTCTTCATCTGCAACCAGGCCTGCAACTTCCATGTGCTCCCCTTTGACCTATCTATGGCCCCAAGAGTTTCCACCAAGTGCATGGCATTGATGGCGGCATTTCTCAGAACCTAACGTATCACCATCTTCCCCTACATTGACAATTGGCCTCTGGTGGTGCACAACAAAAACATTCTGTACACCAACATTGCATTCACCCTGCAACTGCTCTCAGACTATGAGTCAACATAGACAAATGTCGCTTCATCCTGTCTCAGACCATTGAGTGCTTCTCAATGCCACAAGTGTGCAGGCCCACCTGCCTCAACCGACGGTGGATGCCATAATCTGTGCCACCTGAAAACTGATTAACACTCAGCATGCACCAGTCCACTCAGTCCAATGAACGTGAGGCCTCATGGCATCAACCACAGGAGTCCTGCCCTACTCCAGATTGAGGATGGAAGTGCTCCAGTTCTTCTACCTCCTGGTTTGTGACGACAAATGAGGCCCATAAAACAAAAGAACTGTTTCTTTCACTGTGCCTCAGGCAAAAACTTGGCTAGTGGACGACCAAGCATCACCTCTGATGTGGGGTCCCTTTTCAGCAACCACATCCTGCCCGCCTTTTCGATCGATCCAGTGGACAATTGTGAAGATTCTCTATGTCCCCTCCTATGTGATTCCCATCACCCTGTGATGGCCATGTCAGCAGTAGTTATCTCTCTCCTTCTCACAGCAACAGATGGGTGGCAACTGCCCCAGCATTGAAACATTTTCTCTTGTCACCGTGGCATGGTCCTTCACCCAGACATCCCCCATCTGAAGCTCACTGCTTTGAGGATATGCCTCTCCTCACAAAGATCTTGAGATAGGCAAGACGCCCCTGCACTAACCTCCTATATGCTTACAAGTGGAGACACTTCTAGTTTTACATTACAGAGCCTGCCACATTCAGCAGCCTTTCTCTCCACTCTCCTGGTCTTCTTGCTGCACCTCAAACTCAAACAAAAGGGATTCTTCATTTCTTCAATTAAAGTCTACTTAGCAGGCATAATAGTGTCTTTATATCTCTTTAAACATCAAACCATTAAAAGATTTCTCAGAGGCCTTCAGAATGCCTACCCAGATGTGGGACCCCCTTATGACCCACGGTCTCTCTCACTAGTTCAATTACAGCTTACCAAGCATGCTTTCAAACTGCTGGCCATGATAGACCTCTGCCTATTGACTCTCATGGTAGCACTTCTGGCAGCCCTCACATTAGCCCCCTGGGATGCAGAACTTATGGCCCTTCGCTGATTCACCATACCTCATTTTCTCCCATGGTAAGGTCACTCTCCTCACGGACATCACCTTCCTACCCAAGGTGACATCCTGTTTCCACATGTCTCAACTCATCTTACCCACCTTCTATCCTTCTCCGAAGAATGAGCTGGAATGGACCCTTCATTCCTTTGATGTGAGGTGAGACTTGGCATTTTACCTAGATAGGACAAAAGATTTTAGACAGATTACCAAGTTTTTCATCCCCTACCAAAGCCCTAAAAAGGGACACCCTGTCTCTCAGTGATTCTCCAGGTGAATCTCAGGCTATTGCTTTGACTTATGAAGTGGTGAATAAACCTCTTCCTTGGAACTTCCTCAGTTTTTCCACAAGAGCAGTCTCCTCATCTGCTGCCTTCATCTGTGGCATAGACATCCAGGAGATCTGCCAAGCTGCTACTTGGTCCCATCCATTGACATTTGGAAGGGCTGTTTTATCTTTATATCCTGGCATGACTCCCACCTCCTGTGTATAGCTTGCTAATCACCCCTTGTGTGTGCATACATGGACACCATGAAGAAGAAAATTTGGATACTTACTGTAACTAGGGTTCTTTGAGTGGTGATCCGTGTATCCACACATCCCGCCCACCTCATCTCTTGGTGCACTCTTCTTCTTTTTTCTTGCGGTGGACAACTGGGACTGAGGAGAGCGAGGCCATACTTGTGTGATATGGGTGAGAGGCACTTTCATTTTTGAGGTTCTGGAACTTTCCAAGATGGTGTTCACGCAGGCGTACACATCCCTTCTGTGTGGATACATGGATCACCACGTAAAGAACCCTAGTGGCACTAAGTAACCAAATCTTCTGTTATTGCCTTTCTACCATATGGAATGTTATAAAAATAAAATATTCCTTAAAATTTAAGCTACAGCCCTTGGTAGTTGGCATAAAAGGTTTGGTTAACTTGCAATAACTAAATACGCTTACTTGGCAGAGTGTTAGAGCACATGTTGATCATGTGCCTGATCGCATACCTAGCTGCACAATTGATATGTGCTGCAGCACCTTCTCAGTTTACTGCAATTAGCTGCATCAAGTTACGCAGACCTAATAGGAGTTAGGCTACTGGCATAGGATGAGCACTGTAAACAGTAAATGTGTTTTTTCAATTAAGAGGGCATGTTCTTTGGATGTCTTTAAAAAGGCATGAGATCTAAATTTAGGGAGAGAGCCCCACCCCCAGTACCCCTCTGTATCCCATTTATCCCTAGGGAAATATGAGCAGAAGTCCTACTCTGCTTGTTGAACAGGGTCCCCAGTAATGTGGCACATTCTTTTTACATTCAGTTGAACAGAAGTAGAAATTGTTTTAATGGGAGACTGTGAGGAAGACGTTTTTCTATTGAGACAGAGAAAGGTAATGCAGTTTATTTATTTTATTTATTTATTTATTTATTAGACTTATATACCGCCCCATAGCGCTACAAGCACTCTCCGGGCGGTTTACAATTTAATTATACAGGCTACACATTGCCCCCCCAGCAAGCTGGGTACTCATTTTACCGACCTCGGAAGGATGGAAGGCTGAGTCAACCTTGAGCCGGCTACCTGGGATTTGAACCCCAGGTCGTGAGCACAGTTTTAGCTGCAGTACAGCGTTTTAACCACTGTGTCACGAGGCTCATCTCTGAAGTGAAAACTGTTACCTCAAGCTGGTTACTTTTCCTGACACCAGCTTTCCTTGTACCACCTAGACTGAACAAACCAGTTCCCATGTTTCCTTCCTTGGTTGTGGTAGAATTCTTGACATTAAAAAAAGATCACAGTAGTTTTAAATACTGGCTCAGTTAACAGACTGCTGTATCACTAGAAGAATATGTGTTGGCCACCCTTATGTTCATGGTCCTTCTTCCACCTTTCCTTCACATGTGAGGAAGGAAACTGAAAGAAAGCCAGTTTGTAGTGAGCCATAGTTCGTTCATTTGTTTTCCTGAATGCAGCATGTGTTTTGTGTGAGAGGGAAAGGGTACAGGAAATAAAGCAACTCGAAATAGAACATTGCTTATAGCAAACCACCTTTTAGGCCAGTACAGTAGTTTGTGACTTTAGAGTTGACTGAAATGCTGCATCTTCTGTTAATTGTGGCAGATTGAATTGAACTAGCAGGGCATAACATGATCTTCCTCCCTGCAAGTGTAGGTTTAAAAACATTCTGTCATATATTTTCTAAAAATTATTTTTCAGGGCACTGGCCCTAAATTGTGATGCTCCACTGGATGATAAAAACGGAGCTGAATCTAAAAACTGGAGAGCTGGGAAACCCGTTCGTGTGGTTCGGAGCTCAAAAGGCCGAAGGATCAGCAAATATGCCCCTGAAGAAGGCAATAGATATGATGGCATTTACAAGGTGCATCTTTTTCTGCAGTGCTCTTCCTTGTACTGAAAAATGCAAATAGCAAGGTGTTTTGTTTTTTTACTGGAAAGTATTTTGTCTCTGAAGTTGGGTGAGTGAAAAGCTGTTGATGCAACAGGTCTTTTCCACCTCCTTCTCCTCTTCCCTGCTGCACCCCCAGGAAAAGCTTCTCCAGAAAGCCCAAAGACTTTTCATGCCATAAGAAGTGGGAGAATAGTTAAGAATGGTGTGAAGGCATGACAACCTGGAGGAGCCAAGCTCTACTTGCGCAAAATTACCTGTGCCAGAAGGTTGGCAATTTCCTCCTCTCACGACAGTGCACCCACCCACCCCACCCCGGTATGTTTCAAAGCAGCCTACTCAGAAGGGTTCTCAAACCCTTTGGAAAGGCTGTTGGGGATGGGTGGAATAGGGAGGAGAAGACGGAAGAGCCCCTCTGTGCAAGCCGTCTTTTGGTTCTACAGCTTTGTGTCTAACATGTCACATTTGCTGAAAACTGTTTTCTTCATCAGTAGAGTTGTGTTTATGAATTATCGAGTTAATTGTAGTTTCAGCATTTGCCCTCTGAACCTGAAGAAAGGAAAAGAGGCCATCAGTTATTTTAACTGCTGTAGCAGTTGACAGCAAAGAATAAGCAAAGACAGAGGGGGAGGGAAGAAGAAAAAGTGTGGCCAAGGCTAGGGGAGAAAGTGAAAATATGTACATTTCTTGGTAGTCAAAAAGTTGAAGTTCTGTATTTTGAACCTAAAGTAGATACTCAGTTGCTAAAATCTCACTGTTGGATAATTTTTTAAATGGAGAAATTCAACCATGTGACCACATTTTTATCCTAATTGCTTTTTTTTGTTTGGTTGGTTGGTTTGCTTTTTGTTTTTTGTTTTGTTTTGTTTTTTGCTAAGACTATCACATATTGCATCAAATAGACAAGGATTAGGCCACTTTTATTTTGTTTTTCCTGCTATAAAATAGAAGTACAGTAAATATGTTTTTATGGAAGTACTAGCCATCATTCATCCCCAACAGCTAAAAAGCACTCATGGGATGGAATATAAAGGGCCACGGCTGTACTTCTCTAGAATTTCCATGCTGGCTGTAAACTTGGTTCTAAATGTTTGATGATCTCAAAAAGCAGTGCAAGGAGGTGCAGTTAGAAATGGAAATGGAAGAACATCTGGTTCATACAGAAAGCTGTTAGCATTTCAGCCATCAGCTATGGATGCTCTTTCTGTCATCGAGCTGCATTAAGTAGTATCTATAGCAGTCATAATTGCAAACTACATTGCAAACTTAACACACCAAGTTAAATGCTGTTTCACAAATACCAGGGAAATTTTATATCTATAATACATTTGCTTAGGAGCGTTCAGGACAATATAATAAGGATTGTCACGGCTCTTCAGTGACAGCCCACCATCCGGTTAGTAAGCGTGCTAATCACCCTTTGTGTGCATTCACAGAAGACCACGATGAAGAAAGAAAGGTTACTTACCTGTAACGATGGTTCTTCAAGTGGTCATTCTGTGAATTCACACAATCCCGCCCGGCCTCCCCTCTGTCTGTCTGTCACTGGCATCTCTATAACTTCGGGTACCTGTGGCGGACAAATGGAACTGAGGGACGGTTAGGCTGGGCGTGCGCAGTAGGGGTAGTCCTAAACATTGTTACTTTTCTCTTGCAGCTAGAGAATGTTCCGAGAGGCCCAACGCTGGCGCTGGTATTAACCCTTTGTGTGAATTCACAGAATGACCACTTGAAGAACCATCGTTACAGGTAAGTAACCTTTCTTTCACAAATACCAGGGAAATTTTATATCTATAATACATTTGCTTAGGAGCGTTCAGGACAATATTATAAGGATTGTCAGAAATGTATAATGAACTTCCAGGCAAAATAATGACTTTATTTCTTGTCTAAGTTATTTTTCCGATAGCACAAGAGTAATCTAGAAGTTATGAGTATGTATAAAAGTGAAATTTATTCATTGAAGATGATTGGATAGGATTCCAAACCACAATATTTATAAGACATGACTTACAAGAACATTTGCATCTTAGGTGGTAAAATATTGGCCAGAAATTGGAAAATGTGGATTCTTAGTGTGGCGTTATCTTCTGAGAAGAGATGATGCTGAACCTGCACCTTGGACTTCAGAAGGAATTGAACGATCAAAGAAATTGGGCCTGAGTTTACAGGTTGGAACTTAAAGTTGGTCTTATTTTTACAAGTTGTGCTGAAGCATAACTTTTGACACAGTCATGATAGAGATGTCAGCTGAAAATCCCTTGTAGTAAGGGCTCTGTTAAAATTAGCTTTGAAGTTGCTGAATGACTACATCAAACACATTTATATTTTCCTTATTAGTTTTAGTCAAAAATACGTTAGAAGGCCAAGACAAAGTCACATCTCAGTTCATATATTGTGTGATCAAGTGACTAGTACTTATTTCATTTTCCTAGGTAGCGTGACAAAATGCAGACAAACCAGGAACAGCCATCATCCCCCTGCTTCAGAAACTGAAAGGGCAGCTATAGCCCTCAAGTCTATAAGTCTGTTTGCTCTGCTAGCTTAGAAACAGAGCAATACGTTTCAGCTTGTGCCTTAAGGCATAAATGGCATTTTGTTGCTTGGGTGTATCATCTCCCTTCAGGCTGTAGTTTTCTTTCACATATGATACCATGTGTCCTGATTATCCTAATACATTATTTTAGGAGTAACTTCATGTGTTGTTCAGCCAAAAGAAAACAAGCCATGTGGTTGTTGTACATAATCTGAGAGCAAGGGTTGATGATATATTATTAGACCGCTAAAACATTTCAAACAGAAGCTAGCTTTTGGCCCAACTGGTCTTCATCAGGCTGTGCACTGCTTAGATGAGGATGGTACAGAAAGAACATTTTAAAAAACATGGCTAGATGTCTATGCCATGACTCTTAACAAAGGAGTTTAGATAGAATTATGTTTCCACATCGGTAAGTGAGTTTCAGCCAACTTAATAGTATTATACAGTGGTTGGAGAAATATGTTATCTTTAGTTTTCTGCATCCATGCTTCGTTGCAGATGGTGCCTCGTTTGGCTGTTTTGGGTACCTTCCATAATCAAACATGCCTAGTGTATAAATTAAATGTTTCCCCACTTCTCTGGTAGAAGGCTTGCCACATTTCAGTGTAACATCAATCCCTAGCTTGCAGGAAACCTTTTGTTCCTTGAGAAGGCAATGGGGGAGCAGGGAAGCTGAACCTCTGTTGAATGAGTTTGGGAGGAAATATCCAATCAATATCAACAGGAGTGGAATTTGAAACCAATACTCCTGACTTGATTTTGCAGTTCTCATTACTTTTACGTGAGTGTTGTTTAAGGTATTTCTTAGGTTTGATGTTCTTCTGTTATAGTACCCAGAAGGCTACCTGGAAGCCATGGCTAGTAAAGAAAAGAAGGAAAAAGTGAAAAAGCAACCTATGAAACAGGAGCCAACAGAGCAGAGCAATGGAAATCAAAAAAGACCAATGGATGATGGTATGGTTGTTGAAGGTTACCTAGTAGCATATTTTTGTTATGAAATAAAGTACGAGGAGAGCCTAAGCTCAAGCACCAGTTTGGGTCCTATGCAAATTTTATAATCCCTTCTTTTCATTTAAAACAACAACAATATTGTTCAAGTGACTGTAAGAAATGCCCAGAAAACTACCAATACCATGCAGGTACAAGCAAAAACAGAGGGGTGAGGTTACAGTAAACCATTATTGTTATGAGCTGTCAAGTTGCTTTTGAATTACGGCAACCTTTGCCACGTGTTCAACATGTATGAGTTATTTCAGGAGCAGTTTTATGATGAAAACTGCCAGTGGGTTTCTCTGGCACAGCAAGAATTTGACCCCAGGTCTCCTAAATCCTAATCTGTTAACCAGTCCATTATACAGTGGTACCTCGCAAGACGACGACCCTGCTAAATGACGAATCTGCATAACGATTACTTCTTGCAATTGCTGTAGCGATTTGCAAAATAGTCATTCCTATGGGGGATTTTCGCTGGATGTCGATTAGGTCCGTGCTTTGTGAACAATTTGTTCGCAAGACGATGATTTTTTCCGGTGATTGTCGGCTTCGCAAAATGGCTGCCCTGTGTTTTCCGGACCCATGCTTTGCAGGGCAGCCATTTTTACAGCTGATCGGCACTCACAAAATGGCTTCCCTATGGGCGATCTTTGCTGGACAACGAGGTATTTTCCCTATTGGAACGCATTAAACCGGGTTTCAATGCATTCCAACGGGGAAAGGGTTTTTGCATGATGACGATGTCGCTAAACAGCGATTTCAGTGGGACGGATTATCGTCGTCATGCGGGGCACCACTGTACTACACTGGCTCTTGAAAGAAAATTAAATCAAATGCTTGCACACGTGGTTGATCTTTTGCTGGTCTGAATTAAAGATTCCCTCAATTGCAAATACAGGCATCCCCCCTCCTGTATCTGTGGGTGAAATGTTACAAGATGTACCATGGATGCCTGAAACTGTGGATAGTAGCAAACCCTGTATATATGCTGCAGCTGTGACCACAGTGCTCTTTCTGTAGAACATAGCAGCAGCAATGGCAGACACAAGGTGACAGTCGTAGTAAGTGGGATTGATTGGTAGTTTGCTCTCTCCTCCTGCCACCACCTTGTATTTGGATTATTTATTTATTTATTTATTTATTTAACTGATATGCCGCCCACACTACCCAAAGGTCTCTGGGCGGCTTACAGCATTTAAAATACAATAAAAAGGCAAAATAAAAGAGCAAAATAATTAAAATGCAATTAAAATATATATTCTAAAAATTGCCATCAGACCTACAGCTGATATTATTTCAGTTAAAAGCCATTTGGAACAGGAAGGATTAGAGCAGCTTGACAAGATAGGAGCTCATCGAAGGGTGGATGAGTAGACAGAGGTTCGACAAAGAGCAGTAGCAGCAAGAGGAGGAGGAGCAGGCATTGAGTCCCTAAATTAGCTTTCAAACTAGGAGCTGTGTATGTGACATTGTAATGAATGAATAATTCCGGGTAAACTGTGGATAACTGAATTTGAAATTGAATTTGCGGATACAGGGGTTCTGTTTTATTGGAATGATAAAATAAAAGGGTGTGCAAAAGAGAAAATTGAGGGTGCAAAGTGATTATACTAGTTTTGCCAAACTCAGTCACCGTGACAGATGCTTTGGTTACATTAGTAGCAGAGATGGCCACAAAGCACTGAGCCAGTGGGTTTGTGCTGGTACATCCTTCAGCTGAACAGGTGTTTGGCACTTCCCAGCCCTGCCTCCTCTAATGGGCACAAACCGGAGGCCAGCCCTGCCTCCTCTAGTGGGCACCCACCCACTCAGAGGCAGCGCTCAGGGGAGGTGAGACAGGGAATCTGGGGCACTGCCTCTGAATGGGCACGCACCGAAGAAGGTAGGGCTGGGAAGCACCAAACACCCGTTTGGCTGAAGGACGAACTGGCATAAACCAGCGGTTCATGCCCATTTGTAATTAGCAGTGTTAATAAAATTCCTCTCTCATGATATCCTTCATTAGTTCCAAAGACACCCAGTAGAGTTAAGAAATTTAGTATCTGGAAAGCATCATAGTATCTCCGATGATCTCACAATACAGAACTGGAATTGACAGCTTAGAACTTTTTATCCTTGTGTATAAATTCACTTTCAAAGTTACTGTGTTTTATGACATGAGGATGAAGTCTAGAAGAGGAAAAAATTCTTCAGGACGATCCTAATCTTAAGTGCAGCCACCCAACCTAAGCAAGAGAGGTAAGCAGCAGGCCAGTGTAGAAGATCTTGTATAAGTTCCTGGAAAGGGGGGTTATAATGTAGTATTTTTAGGTTTCCCAGGCTTTATAATGCCTAAATGTTTGCTGGAGTCCGAACTAAAGAGCAGTCTTGTGAGTGGTTTCAATCAGTGTGAATCTAGTGTGAATGTCAACCCACAGGCCAAGTCATGTGATCATAGTTCCAGCACAACCCCCAGCTCTGATCTGCAAAGTTGACATCTACTTATCTGCTGTGGTTTAAGTGAACATACAATGGCTCACAATCTTGTTTCTAGTATCCACTTAGAACTCTCAGGACAAACTTCATAAATCTGGTTGAATAATACCCACTGGAGCCTCTTGCTACTGCAAGGTGGATATTTTGCCAGAAAATGCCATGTACCAAAGTGACAGGGATGGAACTGAAGAAAAGATGAATACTAAGCTGTCCACATTGTTCCTAATTTTTTTAAAGAATTCTTTTTGCAAGAATAATGCGTAAGAGAATGAGTTTTTATGATTTCTTCAGTATACCTCTCCATGTGGAATATCAACATAGTCTAAGAATCCATTGCAGGATGATGATTATGATAGCTTGGTGATATGTTTTTTAGAAGGTATAGAAGAACCTACAAACACGGCCAAAGTCATGAAATTAGGAGATGGAGGAAGAGGAGAAGCTTTCCAGTTAACTCAGCAACAGCAGTGGCTGATTCGGGAAGATTCTCCAAACCAGAAACTGTGGGATGAAGTTCTAGCTTCTCTTAAGGAAGGACCAGTACGTTTTACATACGTTTTGCATTTTTAACCTTACTTAGAATGACCATAAATAAAGAATATGTAACACATTTATTAAAATTGATGGCATCGTTTGGAAATTGCATTCTAATTTACCCAACTATGATTTGAAAGAATTGGATTTGTGCATGGGGTTACTTTAATAAGAAGAATACTTTTCTATAAAAAGAAACTCATTATTGACTGGTTTTTCTTTCCTATTTTAGAATTTTTTGAAAAAACTGGAACAATCTTTTATGTGTGTCTGCTGTCAGGAGCTGGTTTACCAACCAGTGACCACAGAGTGCCTCCACAATGTCTGTAAAGTGAGTATACATTTTGCAGTAGCTAGGCTCAGTATTAAACTTGAAAATAGCCCCCTCTACTCTAATAATTGGCAAAATCCTCTTGTTGTAAGCATATGCAGTATAAATCAGATGTGGTGTTGGCAATATTTAATTTAAATGAATTGAAAGCTTCCTAACCCTCTGCCCCCAGCAGCAGCAATCTGGCAGTAGTTTTTGGCTAGTAAATGTCATCCTGCTCCATCCTGAGGCTCCTATAGGCTTTCAAAGAGCAAAATGGAGCCCTAGGAACCTGAAAGGGGGTTAGATAGAAAGCTTTCAATTCATCTCAGTCCAGTTTCTATGGCATTTTACACAACAGGATTTTGCCCACTGAATATGTTTGAATCATTATTTCTCTATATTTTTTTAAAAAATGTATTTAATGGCCAGACTGTTTGTTTTTGCAGTCTCTGCTGATGTTTGTATCATTATCAAACAAGAGAGGAATTACAGCAGCATATTAGATTGCAATTAAAATTGAAGCATGGTATTTTACATTTTGATGGAACAATTTTCCTTTCACTTTTCTATTCAGAGGCAGGATCTAGTAAGATATGCTTTGGAACCTGTAAGAGAGAATATTCAAGTGCATTCACACATCTTAAATTCACATCAACAAGATTTGGACACAGTCACACCCTCTCTTTTTTGTTCTAAGTTCGGTGTCCTGTCTTATCTTGCAGTTGTAAGAAATTCCTAAAGCTTGACAAATCTCACACATAGAAACCAGTTTCATAGTCAGGACTGAATTTTAGGATACTTGCAATAAACAGAAGTGTTTCTGAGCCTACACAGAGACTACCAAGGAATGACAGTCTCATTATGGTTTCACTTAATGGGTCCAGTTCATGATTCATGTGTGAAGAATGAGAGTGGGCCATAGGATTGCATGCACCAAGCCCTTGCCTTTCCTCTCTTGCACTAATGTGCTTTCTCCATTAGGCAGAGATTTAAACAGTGACAGCTTAGTTTTTAGCCTCCCCAACTGAGTTTAGAGAAATACTCAAGTGTTTTAGTTATGTTTGCAGTGGTTTGTCCCCAGAAATATATTGGTTCCCTCCATGGGGTACCCTTTTGTCCCAGCCAGTATAATGTATTGGGACCAAAAAAATGTACTGCGCCATTTTTTTCAGCAATCCAAGAAGCAGAAGTGACATACTCTGGTAGTTGGTAGCTTGGGCCTGTTCAACAGGAAATACAAGGCATTCCTGTGTAACACTATACCCACTGCTAATCCTTCATCCTTTGGATTTCAGGTCAGAAAATATTCCCAGAACTCTCCCAATTAATTTTTTTAAGTATCATGTGCATATGTGTTAAACGAAACCCCATTTCTCATGGTGATACAGCACAAGGAGTGTCAGACAAAATAAAAACAAAAGAGAGAAAAATATTAAAGACTAAGTGCTGCATTTTACATGTGGACGGGATCTGCAACAGCTCACATTAAAATATAGCACTTAGAACTTTTTAAAAATTCTGATATACTTGCGCAGACTACCATGGCTGCTTCTTCGATAGCACAAAGAATGGTGGTTAATTCAAATGTGCTGGGGGATGTTTCTGATCTTCTTACATATGTCAAAGAGGAGGTCCAAAGAGGGAGCATAGAAATTGGGATGTGCTCTTTTATGTATTTGTACTGCAACTCCCAGAATCCTCCAGGCAGAATTGTGGGAGCTCCACCCCACAAACACCAGTCTGCAAATATCTTCTCTACCCTCGTAGAAAAAGGCTTTTGGGTTATTTACCCTTGACAGCAGTTGGTCTACCACCCCCACTCACCATCACATGAATAAACAGAGGTCCAGGGTGTGACTAAAATAAAATTCAGGAAATTTATTTCTGAAAAAACTGAAATTGTGGATTTGTTTTGTCTCTGGTTGATGTATCTTTCTTTCTGAACCTGATTTCAAATCATGTCATAAAAATGTATGTTCCTTATTCTGCGCTACAGAGCTGTCTGCAGCGCTCTTTCAGGGCTGAAGTCTTCACTTGCCCCGCTTGCCGACACGACCTTGGAAAAGGTTACACCATGGTTCCCAACAAGATATTGCAGACACTGCTGGACCAGTTCTTCCCTGGTTACAGCAAAGGACGATGATACGTGTTCAGTTCCCAGCATACTTCCCTAATGACTTTCAGACTGTAAAAAGAGAAGAAGCTAGGAAAACGCAGCAGTGGATCAGCTGGCTTGAGAGAATTCACTTTACTGTCATATTGTGAAGCAGCTAATTCAACCTTCTTTCTGATTTAGCAATCTTTTTGTGTAGTGAGAACTTCAAATTTTTGGCTTCAGCATTGAAGGTAGTTTTGGACAGATGACAACTAGTTTGTACACAGGAAAAAGCAACCTTGGCTCCAGCCACAGCAGATGCTTTAGTTTCTTTTTGTAACTACCTCAGATGGAGGAAAACAATTTGTGCGAATTTTTACAAGCTCATCAAATGAAGTTCAGCTGCACACTGCCTTCTGATTATTAGTTCTGCCAGGTCCATGGAATTTGATTTTACAACAAGAAAACGGCACTTAAGCCTGTTTTTATTACAGAGCATCCAGTTCTGTGGTGTGCATAATCCTTTTTTGTGTTTCTTCCCATTATGCTGTATTTCTTACTACTTTTGCGAGAACAGGCTTTTAGTCTACTTTTTGTGAGCGTCATTGTGCTCTCGTATCTTATGCAAGTTGACTACTAATGACTGAGAACAATATGAATGCATTGTTGCTGTTAATGTAAAGTGATTTGTGGGTTTTTTGCACTTAAAGAGGGTATTCCAGACACTCTAGTTGTGTAAAAACTTTCATATGGAACAAGCCACTTTTGTATTAGGTAAAACTGTATGCTTTTAGTAGGTTGTGTATCAGTGGCAATACATCTTATACAGCATTGAGAGCAGTGCTAGCTTGGAGAGGGCTCAAATTGCTTCATATTGTGATCTGAAATTTTATATACAGTATATTCCCTTCCCCTGAATATACCTTATTAAATATTTTATGATTCATAAAGTGTTAATTGTTTGTATTTTACATTCATATGGCAATCATTTCCTAAAGGAGGTCTTTTATAAAGGAGAAGGAATCTCATTTGGAATTTTTGATAAAAGGGCAAATAGGTCTTTGCTTTTGCCATAGAAAGGTATGTTATATATATTTTTAAAAGACCTTTGTTTTTAGGAGTTTACATTTTCATATCTACCTTTGTTTGCAGTTCAGCAAGTAACTGTTAATACAATTCAGAACATTTATATATACTGGCTTAAAGTGTACAGTTCACACGACATATTTGAATAGTCCCTTTAGGCCAATTTTAACCCAGTATTACATTTAGAGGACTGACTCTCCTAATCCCTGACAACTGGCTGTGCTAACCAGAGTCTTTCACCAGTATCTGGAGAGTTAGCTGTCTGTCCCTGGCTTAGAGAAACCAACTGTGTATAGCATGGTTAACACTTAAAACACAAGATCATGATTTGAATATGTAGTGCCTGCCAGTTAACTAAAATGAAATCTGCTGAATGAGTGAGAGGGTGCATGAGCCTGAGTCATGCGCAAGTAATTATAAACTGTGGTTTAGTGTTATGTGCCAAGGGGCTCATGGTTTGGCTTGAATAGCAAGAAGGGAGGACATCAGAATAGTATGCATAATATTATGACTGGCAGGCAAAATGTTTAGTAGCCTCTGATGTAGCAGTTTTGCATTTTAGCTGTTTAAGAGACCAGTGACACAATCTAATTTCTTTCTTTTTAAAAAAGAACAAGAGGCATCAGTTTACAAGACTACACTAGACTGTCATAGAAGAGCAAGACCAGTTTTCACATAGGAAAGTAGATATTTTTCCATATACTCAGGTAAGCGAATATACAATTTCAGTTTCGGAATATTAGTTGGAGCAACAACACATTACACAAAGAAGCCCTTTAATTCCTTAGATCCTAACTAACATGAGCAGAAGGGGGCTCCCTCATTTCCCCCACACTTCCCACATTTCTCTGGATGAAACTATCTTGAAAACTGGGATTGAGGGGTCAGGTAAAACCAAATGGAGAAACCGTATAGGTGTGGCTATGTTCACCTAAGAGGCCTCTGCCTGATATTGACTAACTCTCCTAGTACACAATGCCATGTTTTCAAGAGGTCTCCACCCCTCCAAATAGATGTCTTCTGAGACTTCAACCAAGGGAACTCTTCCATGTGCATCCTTCTACATGTAGCAGGCTCTAAACTATTATGTTTGCATCGTATTTAACCTATGGATTTGTTGTGGGCAGGGAAAGAGTCAGAACTATACAGAAAAATCAGTACAGAATCTATGTGTAAAGGCATCACTTCAATGATCATTTTATGCTTAATATAATGGCCAAAATCCTGTTGTTTAGTGCAGTCACGTCACACTGGAGTAGGCCCATGGAATCAATGGGGATTTTGTGAGTCAACTTCTCCATAAGTTACATTAATTCAAATGGGCCTACTCTAATTGTGACTTCCTATGCTAAAGAAAATTGGAAGTTACAGTAGGCCTATTTGAATAAGTGGAACCTACAGAGGAGCTGACTCATCAAATCCTACTGATTCAACAGGTCTCCTCTAGTGCCATTTACTACACTAAGCAACATCATTTTGGCGATTATATCTTAAACTAAGTGTTGAGTAATATTTCTATAAAACAAAATTTAAAGGAGCCCCTTTTTATTGCTCTTTTAGCCAGCTGGGTGTGTCACTCACAACTGTTTTCCTGTCAGCTAGACCTATGTCAGTATCTTCAGTGTGTAATTCCATTTTGGTAATTGCTAACACCTTTGTTTATTGTAAGATAGTTGCGTTATAAAGTGATTTGTTGGCTGATGTGCGCTGTAAAGGATGTATGCTCATCCTTTAATGTCAAATAAATTCCAATTCAGTTTGTTGCACTTGCATTAATTTCCCTACTAAACTGCATGAGATGCATTTTGTTACTCCTATGAGTGACCTATCTTCTGAGGGAATCCAGACTTAAGAGTATACAAGCCAAATTTTGAAAGAAGCAGGAGTCATTCTAATTGTATGTCTGCCCCACTGAGGGCAATATACAGTGGTGCCTCGCTTGATGTTAATTCATTCCAGCGAAATCGCTGTAGAGCGAAAACATCGTCAAACGAAATTTTAAAAACCACTGAAATGCATTGAAAACCGTTCAGTGTGTTCCAATGGGCTGAATACCTGCTCGTCCATCGAAGATCCTCCATACGGCGGCCATTTTCTGGTGCCTGTTAAGCAAAAAATCAGTCCTAAAAACAGCGGGGGCCATTTTCTTCAGCCGGTGGCCATTTTGAAACCCGACAACCAGCTGTTTGCTGATCGTTGTAAGGCAAAAATCGGTTCCGAAAGCAGGGAACCGATCATTGTGAAACAAACAAACAAAAAATTTAAACCAGCATTTTGCGATCACAAAAGCGATCACAAAAACTTCGTTAAGCGGATTCGTTGTTATACAGGGTAATCGTCCAGCGGGGCACGACTGTGCATTGCCTGTTTTAATACCACATAACTGGAGCAAAAATTGGCCTACTATTTCTAACTGCCTATAGTAGACTGTTGTTAAATGCAAGAAATAGCAGGTTTTCTTCCATGATAAAAGAATAGTTAAACATTAAAAATCTGTAAAGAACGTCTCAGCAAGCTGCAAGAATGCCTTTAGCAGCTGAAGGTGTGTGAAGCAGATTTTTAGCTTATAATTTTTTTAAAAAGGGGTGGGACAGCTCGTTTATCAAAATTAAAATAGGTCCAGCTCAGAAGAGTTTGTTTTCTACACAGCTAACTGCTTGCTGACTTGGGTTGGAGCCAAAGGCTAATGTGAAAGATTAGTGCATGAGAGAATCACTGAAGGCCAGAGATGTGGGCTGCTAGAAGGTGTATATGTGTAACACAGAATACATCTTAGTTTCATTTTGAACTGTCTCCCCATACTCCACCTCACCCCAGTAAACAATTACTGTGTTGAGGGAACCCAATAACATTTTGCAGGGGCTCATGGCCCTATGATGAAGGAGGGAATCAGGAATTCCCTTGCACAACTATCTTTTGCTGAGGTGAATACAATGGAATCAATTACCTTGAAAGGTGGTGAGTGCTCCAACACAGGAGGCATTCAAGAGAAATTTAGACAACCACTTTTGATCTGTATTCCTGCACTGAGGAGGGGGTTAGTCTCAATGGCCTTATAGGCCCCTTCCAACTTCATGATTCTATACAGACCACTCTAATTAACTTGGAAACATAGATCTCAATATTACCTTCTTTCAGAAATCTTATGTATTTGAAATCAGACTTCAAAAGCTACTGAGTCAACTAATTTTTATTGGAATGCTAACATTCGGAGTTTTTAAAAGGGGGATACACTTTAAAAGACACCAGTGCTAGAGGTAATATAAATTTAATCAGTATGAACACCAAAAAGTTTATGGCCACAGCTTGATACACAGGGAGGTACATGCTGTAGCATGTTTTAGTAGGTTTCAACATACCTGTTGATTGTTGTCCGTATCTTCAGTTGATACAAATGAATATTAACTATATTTTAGTCACCACTGTGAGCCAGCCCCACAAGGGCTAAGAGAGTATAGACTGCTAAAAATACTGAGTTTGCTTTGTACCATGCATGGATCATTTTGGATAGCTCAGTGGTTTAGTCCTCTTGCTGCAGTGCCAGAGGTTTGATTCCCCACTGTGCCTCCTTTACATGAACTGGATTTGATGATCCAGAGGTCCAGTCCAGCTCTGCAGTTCTAAGAGTATTATTTTGAGGAGCAGACATGTTACCATTACATCTTTCAAACAAAAAATGTTTCAGATTTGTTCATGCATTTCTACATTTAAACTTTGGACCCCAGGAAAGCAGCCCTAGTTCTGAATAGAACAAGAGGGCTAAATCAAGGCCACTTCAGCATAGATTGCTGGCACAACTGAGGCACTGAATCAATTCAGCTTGTTTCCACCTAGTACAAGTATATTTACATGTAACTGCACAGGACTTTATTAATAGTACAGAAATTATAAAAATATACACTGTATATAAAGTTTGCTCACTGGGCCATAAAAAATCCATTTATCCTCCTAAAATGAAATGTTGCAAGGGAGACTGAGTCCAGTCATCTCAAAAGAGAAAGTGGCTTGAGCAGGTGAGGAGAGGCTGACCCTACGAAGACGCTCTCTTCTGTTCAGCAAAAGGAGATTCATAGACTTCCATTGGTGGGCAGGTACAAACCAGATGTTGATCTCCATAGATATCGTCAATTCGAGCTACTGTGGGCCAGAACTTGTTTTCAGGTCTCACAAAAGGCTACAGAAAGGAGTGAAAAGTATTTTCAAAAGTTAGCATATAATTTAAATTATTCTAGAAACTGATAAACACAATGTGAAACAATACAGCAAGCATACTATAGCACACAGAATAGGGAAAAACCAGTTTCATTATGTGCACACTGGAACTGAAACATTGGAAAATGAACAGATTTTGTGAAGGGTTTTTTTTTTTGCATGGGTCTTACTGTTATTTAGGCCCAATTATATGTAAACACAGCGGCCAGTATCCTGTTGCTCCATCTGCACAATCAGAATGATGTCACCACCATTGGTAGAGTGCCACTAATTAAAGAGTTCATTTTTCAATTGCATAGTGTCTTTGACTCATGCAATATACAAAGACATGCATACCCTGATATCAAAAAAGGAATTCTTATTTCACAGCAATCTCCTGCTGCTGGTGAACCAAATCATGTATTTAAGAGGACATATATGTAAAGGGTGCTTTCACAAATATAAAGTGTGTATTTGCTCTCCAAATCACTCCAAACTGGCTTCATCCCAGAACAAGCCACATGTTAACATACTTCAAGCAACAAGAACACACAAGTGTTGTAGCATGTTTAAAGCCAACAGATTTATTTTAGTCTGAGCTTCCTTGATTTACAACTCACTTCCTACAAATTCACAGAGAGGACTGTAAATCATGAAAGCTCACAATTAAATAACTAGTTTTTGTTACTGAAACTACTATTTTAAGTTAACTTATGTTACCCTACTCAAAAACAGATTGTGGGGAGATTTGAACTTTTCAACTTCCATGAGCACCCCCAGCTCTACAAGGGCCAAACTGAATACCATGCACAAACAGACCCTTCATTCAAGCAGATGTTTGCTTTGGGGAGATCTTCCACTGGAATAGGTTTAACATGTCTACATTGGCCCTCAAACATTTCCAGATGTAGAAAGAAAATAGTCTTCTGGCTAAATCTAGAGGAAGGCTAGAAAATGTCTAACAATATGCTTCCCAGTAGGAACCTAAAAGTAGTGGTTCAAATGAAGGCCACAACAACAATACTTACTAAAGGAAAAATAGCTACTTCTCGAGGGTAAGGGCGATTCCAGTCGGAAGTAGCAATGCAAGCCAAGGTATGCGGTGACATCTGTGTTAAGAAAATCAAATTTAAAACATGCAAAATGGCTGGGCTCATTAAATCTGCTCAACTAGGTTGACCATTCAAATCAATTTAAAACACACCTTATCCTGTTGCTTAAACAATCAAAATAGCACCAGTCAAAGTAAAGATTGCTCAATCTCCTTAAAAATCAATTGAAACAATTAACAGTTTCAACCATAAGTCCTATTGTAGCATTCAGTAATACTTGAGTATGACAATGGATTTGTCTACATACCCATTTTTGAGTGGGTTGGCCAAAAAAGGGCATTAGGAGGGCTGGTATGCCATTTGGTGCGATCCTTCCATCCCAATGGCAATGAATCTCAAGCAACCCTATTTGGATTAATATTGTAAAGTGTCTTAATAGGAATGCCACTTCAGGATATTAGCCAATGGAGGGACCAAGGAAGGGAAAAATGTTTCGAAAGTGTATTAGGACAGTGCATATGCACTGCATCACTTTTTAAAAATGTAAAGGTCAAAGCAGGAGGGGCCAAGGAAAGGATTTTTCTTTGCTTTTGTCATAAAGGTCCTGTCGAGAGAACCACTCCAGATGTCATCACGACTATAGTGACTTTGGATGCAGCAGCTGTAAACAATGGTGTTGTGTTATATCCAATCTTCAAGGTTCTTCATCCAATTTTATTGTGTGAAACAGCAGAATGCTGCGCGCTATATCACAGTCTGTGGATTCCATCCCTAACCCTTCCCACCCTTTCTTTCATAATGGACACTTCATCTATTTTGATCATAATGATAGGGATCAACTGTTAAAAATGTCCATGCAATGTACCTTTAATGGGTTAACTCTCAGGTCCATTCTCCCTTCTTCTATATCAGCAATTTCTTGACGGATGTTAATCATTGCATCACAAAATCTGTCTAGTTCTGCCTTGTCTTCAGATTCTGTTGGTTCAATCATAAGGGTCCCTGCCACTGGCCAGGACATTGTTGGAGCATGGAATCCTAGGAAAGAGGAATTTGAATTAAGAGAGTGAAGAAGGAACAAAAAAATTCACCAGCTGTTGAAAGAAGCATGCCCGACATTGTCCCACATCCTGTGTGGGTGCCGACAACTGGCACTTTTAAAAGTCTGATCTTTCTTCAAAAAAAGAGGCCCAAGGCCCCTTCAAAAATTGTTAAAATGCGTTTTTAAATTACAAATTATATTTTAATGTAATAACAGTAGGACCACGGTAACAGTAAGTCCACCACTGCAAATGCCAGAAAGTGCAGGCATAGAAGCCCTATATGGTCCAGAACATGGCTACCGGACTATTAACAGGGGTGGAAAAATATCATCACATTTCCCCCACTCTGTCAGCCTTACACTGGTTGCCCATTCATTTCAGCATTGACTTCAAGGTATTAATGCTTACATATAAAGCTCTAAACGGTTTAGGATACCTGGCAGAGTGCCTGCTCCCACCTAACTCTACTCGTGTCACTCAATCTAGCCAGGCTGGGCGGCTGAGGGGCTTGACCCCAAAAGAGAGGCCCGGAAGGAGAGAACTAGAAACCGATCCTTCTCGGCAGTGGGCCCTCACCGCGGGAACATTTTGCCCCCTAAGATTTGGCTGGCACCCTTGCTGGGAGTTTTAAAGAACAAGCTGAAGACTTGGTTCTTCATGCGGGCCTTCCACCCTTGCATCACTCAGTTTCTTGTGTTTTACCATCTTGACTTTGCTCATCTCTCTTTTTTGTTTTGATATTGTTTGTTTTAATTCTTGGTTTTATATTGCTCGGACTAGAGTAGATTCATTTAGAATCTAGATTTCTGTATTAGAATAGAATATTATTAGACTAGAATATTAGAATCTAGAAACTGTTTTTCTTGTGCTAAAAACAACCATACTATTCTTTGCAGAAGCTGTCTTCTCTCGCCGTTCAGCACTGTGCTTTCACTCATGCTACTCAACCTCTGCCCTTTAAGCGTCCTGACATGCAAAACCAGCAAGTTTAAGTTCTTGCCAGAGCTATCCCCACAAGCTCTTGCTGCCAACCGTCTACTGAATCACTCACCATAATCCTGCAGCCTCTTGGCAACATCCACAGCTTCAATGTTTGCTGTTTTCTTGAATGGCCGAGTGTCCAAAATGAATTCATGAGCTACATGACCTGCATATGAGCAAAGTTTTATATACAGTTTTGTAACAATAGATTAATTAAATCTGAACACAAAGGTAAGGTTATTAATAGTACATGGTTTCTAACCTTTATCCCATGGAATAACTTTTAGCTGGAAACAGTAGCCTTTATCTCCACAGACCTCCAATCAATTTTACTTTTCTCATTTTTTACACTTCTTTTCTTTAGATTACTTCCTTTAAATAGATGAGCAACTCTCTAGCTAATCAATTAAAATTTGTTCCAGATATCTCTCTAGATATTTTGATTTAGTTTAACTTAGAATTGGAAGAATTAATGGGCAAAATATGTTTCCTAATATATTTTAGGAAAAATAAGATTTGTATTAAAAAGTTGGAAAAATCCCTTTTTGAAAAACATGTTGCAAATCTGGATTAAACACAGTCATGTAATTTCCCTGTTAATTTCATTTTTAATTTCATTAGCTGGATTAGAGGAGTTTCCAGAAAATTTGAAAGGGATTTGGCAGAATTTATTCAAAAGGAAACCTGTATATAGATTAAAAGACTGGTTGGAATAAATGAATTATAAAGAAAAAATAAGGATAATTTAGCAGATGAGAAGATAAAATGGATTACAGTGGTACCTCGTAAGACGACGACCCCGCTAAACGACGAATCCGCATAATGATGACTTTTTGTGATCGCTATAGCAATTCGCAAAACAGTCTTTCCAATGGGGGATTTTCACTCGCCATTGATTAGGTCCATGCTTCGCGAACCATTTGTTCGCAAGACGATGATTTTTTTCCACTGATCGTTGGCTTCACAAAATGGCTGCCCTGCGTTTTCTGGACCCATGCTTCGCAGGGCAGCCATTTTTACAGCTAATCGGTGCTCGCAAAATGGCTTCCTTATTGGAGATCTTTGCTGGACGACGATGTATTTTCCCCACTGGAACGCATTAAACTGGGTTTCATTGCATTCCAATGGGGAACGGGTTTTCACATGACAATGATTTCGCTAAACAGCTATTTCAATGGGACGGATTATCGTCATCATGCGGGGCACCACTGTAATATGATTCAATTACATTATTGGATAAGAAAATGAGTAAAGCAGAATGGCAAATGCCAGGAGTTGATGAAGTTCAAGGAAATCATAATTCAAAGAGAGAAATAAAAGAATAAGCCAGTGAAAGGGATGGTGGGGGAAAATATTAAGCTATTGTCAGGGGTAGAAAATCACCAAGAAGCTCTTAAAACATTATGAGAAACAGATTTCGCTAAGGAAATAAGTACTGACACATGGATTAGTATATGGAAAAAAAGAATGTTAAAATCCATGACTATGAGAATAAAAGACAGCTTTTATAAATTGATTTGGAGATGATATTTGACACCTGTGAAATTAAATATTATGGTTTCTAAATACTACACAGCATTTTGGAGATGTGGACAAGACACAGACTGCTTATTTCCATATGTGGTGGGACCATGAAGCAGCATAGAAATTTTGGAAACGGATACTTAAAGAAACAGAAAAAACTATAAAAGATGAGAAGTTTCCCCCAAAATTGAATTATTATCTATTTTTATAAAGAGCAGTAGAAGTGGGCTAAAAATAGTTATGAATTTGAGAATGGCAGCCAGATTAGTGATTGCAAGAAATTGGAAACACAAATACACGTTTTAAGTAACTGAATGGTACAACGGTGTGTAGGAAATAGCAATTAATGACAAACTGACATGTGACATAAGATTTTAAAGTATAGGTAAAAAAAATGAAAGATTTAAAAAGAAAACATGGTGGCACCTTAAAGATCAAGTGTTATATGTTAATAATGTGAGTTTTCATGGACAAATCCACTTCCTAGGAGAAAGATGTAACATGGCAAATATTTATATATGGCACCATGTTTTTGTCTTTTTATTTATTTATTTTTATTTTGTTTCTCCTAGAATGCTTGCACAGTCTAAAATGGCTACCACTTCTACAATTATAAGATTTAAAGAGAACTATTAAAGGCTTGTTGATACATGGGAAGACTTTTTTGAACTGTGTATTATTGAAATACAAAGGCCACTCACCCATATAAGAGATAATGGTTATGGGGAATCATAATCAATAGTCTGAAGGAAATACAACTTTATTGGTTCCAGTGATGGGTGAACTAATTTTGGTTATGTTTATAGAATTGTTCTAAGGTATATATATATTTGTTTCCCTTCGTGATTTGTTTGTATATTGTTTAATTGTTTTAAAAGTTAAAAAAGAAAAGTCCCCTAAAACAAAAAAGTACACCTCTTTCTCTTCTCTCTGTTAAAATAATATTAAGACAGTTCAAATAAGGGCCCATTCAGATGGGCATTTGTTCTGCTGTTTGATGCACTGGGATCTGTGTGGATTGGTTTGCTCTTTTTTCCAGCAATCACATGACACAGTCAGTAGGACAGTCTGAACACTTAAACCAATTTGCCCCCAGAGTGCCCCTACCTGTGCCTTTTTGAGCCCATCAGAGCTTCTCCCTTTTTTTTATCCAGGTTGATATGCTCTAGTTTAGTTTGTTCCCAACTGACCAAAATCAAGCCTCACAGCTGTCAAACCTGCAAAGTCTCCTTCCACTGTGAATGTCTGGTTTCGTGAAGTGGCTTAATAAATGGGCCACTTCAGGATATCAGCAAATTGAATACTTCCCTTGCGTCTCTGTGGAGGGGGAGGGGAAGTGAATTTATTTTTTTGTCTCTGTAAGATCACTGCAGATACACAGAATCATATACATTACATTTTTAAGAAATGTATTTTTCTTAAATCCATTTGTTTGAAGTGTTGATCAACTGAATACAGTTTTTTTCAATCAGCACTACATATAAAGCAAATAATTAAAAAAAACTAATCCAAATGATTCAGTACACCGGTCATGGTTCACCAGAAGTAATAATAAAAATAATTTCACTCCCCCTGCCCCTTTGCAGAGGAGCTAGGGAAGTGTTCAATTTGTCAATAACCTGAAGTGACTTGATTAGCCACTTCACAATACCAGAAAGAGGGGCGCGTAAGGTCAGTATGCCATTTGGACACAAGGATCACACCAAGTGGTATATCACTCCTTGCATTAACCTCAAGGGACCCTCTTTAGACCACACCAGCTCATAGCAAAAGGGCCTGTGTAACCACACCCTCACTTGCAGAGAGTGGGGGGGCACTACAAAATTCACTGAAAAGCAGATAAGCTTGCAGCTGCTCTTGAATCTTTTGAAAATATCTTCTTAGGAGGATAAATCCATTCACTAATGCCTTCCTGCTTGTACTATTTAGCTTGCTAGCAGCCCAATAAGCTGAGTATGACATTGCTGAGAGGTGGGAATGCAAAGGAGGTGGAATAAGGTGATTTAGTGGTCCAGTTCAGATGCAACAATAAATTGTGACTGTTACATGCAGAAGCTCGAAGCTTGTGCACCCACCCTCTAATCTTGGAGCATGGCCACAAGAAACTTTCAATTCTGATGTTGGTTAATGATATTTCTATGCTCTATCTGAACTGTAAACTATAACTAATCTTAAATATGGTATATGGAAACAACCCAGCATCACAAACTACAGTCTGAAATTGACTTTTATTTGTCAATATGAGTTAAGACTATTTAGTTGTCTGGTTCAGTCATGACCTGAACTAGGTAATTAGAAATCAAAATGAAACTTTCAGTTTCATTGCAGTCCGTACCCAACTGAGGCATATAGCGCATGGCATATGACGATGGTGCCATATAGCACTACAAACTGCTATTTGATCGTGGGCTGCTAGACTAACCTTGCCTGATGACAGATGGACCAGAGTAAGCACCCTTTTCCAACTGGGGTAGGGATAGAGCTTGGGAAAGTTTAAGTAATTCATTCCTTGTTCTTTGTTACGATGTTCACTGTTAATCATTAAAACACGGAAAAACTAGCTAATGCATTACTCATTGTACAGTGATGCCTCGCATTACAATTGCTTTGTTTAACGACGAAATCGCATTACAATGAACTTTTTGCGATCGCAAAACAATGTTTCCTATGGGGGAATTTCGCTTTGCAATGATCAGTTCCCTGCTTCAGGAACCGATTCTTTGCAAAACGACGATTTTCCAACAGCTGATTGGCAGTTTCAAAATGGCTCCCCGCTGTGTTTAGGGACGGATTCCTCGCAAGACAGGCAGCGAAAATGGCCGCCCTATGGAGAATCTTCGCTGGACGGTGAGTTTTAAGCCCATCGGAACGCATTAAACAGGTCTTAATACGTTTCTATGGGCTTTTTAATTTCGCTTTACGATGTTTTCATTCTACAGCGATTTCGCTGGAACGAATTAACGTAATGCGACACACCACTGTACTGCTAATTACTTCTATGACACTTTGTCACTTTTTTGGAAAGGAAGCTTAGGATGAAAGAATAATGTAATATCTGAAAACAAATGCCTCTAAAAATGTCTTAAAATGATATTTAACAAGTATTTTTTCCCAGTAATTTGAAACATTTTCCCAATAAAGTAATTCACTTTCTGCTCATTGTCACCCAATGCAACTCCTTGTAAGTAACTACCTTATTTGTTACTTTTAAGCTCTTGATGGAGGTGGGGGAATGGCTCATAATTATACCTTCACTATGTCTGTTTGTAGATGTGGACATAATTGCTCTAGAAGCCGGATCCATTCATTCTGTTTTCACAGCTGAACTTTCCTAAACGACAATGGTTCTCTTGCAATAGAGCTGGCAATGCTTGACTATGGCGCCTGCTGCAAGCTTATCAAACAGTGTTGAGTTGCCTCCCTTGTGTCCGGTGTACATCGATGCACACAGGGAGCCTGAACAACATCATACTAGGCAGAAGACAATTCAAGGTGATAATAGTAATACTTGCCTCTGGTTCCTCTAAAGAGGATTTTGTAGTGCTTCTCTAGTCTCTTTGCCATATAGTTAGCATTTAGTATTGCAATCTCAGATGCATGCTTAAGACCTTTTCCTCCCATCATCTGAAGGGATAGCAAATAATAATGAAGAAAAATGTAAAATAAACTATCTGGTCCCCACCTTTCCCTTTTCTATCCTGCTGAAGGCAACAGACCTGCCATGGCATATGGTGCAGGGGAACAGACCACTCAGCAAAAACTAAGTTGCACATCTTGCATGAAAAGATCTCCATCTGTGCTGAGATTTCTCCCCACCCCACTCCCACTTATTTTTTTGGCTATCCGAGAGCAGCAATCCTCTTGGCGTAACTTTTCACAGGGTTAAAAGTAGGAAGGGTAGATGGTGGAAAGGCACCCCTGTACAGGTGGCCAGCTGATTTCCCCTTTTAACAGGGGGAATGGGCCTCAAAACTATTAATGGGGGGTTCTAGGAGGGAGAGGATATGGGTAGAAATGACAGAAATGCCATACCTTGATGTAAGCCCAAGATATGGGCAATATAGCGCTGGATCCCCAGGGAGCAGCACTGATGGTTCCCAAGGGCCTGGAATCCTTGTCCTGTGGCAAGGCCACCACCGGGTGGCTAGGCAGGAAGGGAGCCAAATGCTTCTTTCTAGAAGGGAGCAAAGGAATGATTCTACAGATGGAAGTTCTCTCCCATGGACTCCTCACTCTGCTAAAACTACCTTAAGTGTTTTTCAGGCGGTGCCTCGTAACAGTCCAACAGCCAAGGACAAAGTTCTACTTAAAAATGCTGCACATGACAAGATAGTCCTTACTAAAACACCATATGGCTAACTCTTAAAACAGGAATCATTATACCATCCTTTAAAAGGGGCAACAAAGTCGTCTCCCTCGCCTCCAAAGAAGTTCTCAGATAAAACCAATGCTCCAGGAAAGAAGTCTCATGCTTGTACATATTGGGCAGAAGCAGTGCAAGCAAAATCCCGTGAATACTTCTTTCGGATGCCTTTTCTGGAAGGGTCCATGATTAGACCATCTTACCCCAAGAATTTGCAAGATGTGAGTTCCTCAACTTGAATGCTTTCACTACATCAATACTGCTCTTTTCCAACAGTACTGCATCACCTACCTTGCAATACCATGTGTGTTTATTCAGAAATAAGTCTTTAAGCTTTACTCCTCTTTAAGCTTTACTCCTCTAGCAAATGGGTTCAGGACTAAGCTAAAATAAATGACTGAAAATAAATAAATAAACAGGCTCTTATCCTAGGAGGCAGGTACTAACACTCCGATAGGTCCCATGCCAGGTCCTCCACCTCCATGAGGAATGCAGAAGGTTTTGTGAAGATTTAGATGAGAGACATCTGATCCATAATCTCCAGGACGACACAGACCAACCTATGGGAGAAAGAGTATCACAACATTTCAAAAGCAAAAGACTCAAGAGGTAGGGTGGGGAACCTGCTCTCTAATGATCATCTGGCACTTGGGATGTGAGATTCCTTCTTGCCCTGCAGTACTTGTTTCCTCTTTTGATCTCTGTGGCTGCACCCATGCTCCAGCGTCAGGCACAGAGAGGGAGAGCAAGGCAAAAAGTCTGCCTACTTTTGGCTCTTGCTTACCGTCACTGGTTTTCAGATCAAAAGCAAGTGTCAGATATTTTTTTTCACTATGACAACAAAGTACAGGAAGACCCCAATGCAAGAGCAGCCCTTCCAGGCCACGAGAGGCCTAACTTCAACCTCATGTTTTCCATAGTGGCCACAGCCAACCAGCGGCCAATGCAGCATCAACCCACAAGCAGCAGCAATTTCCTCCTATAATTGTTTACCTGGAACGGGTACTGAATGGCTTACTGTTCCTGATCTGGGAAGGTATCAGCCATTGCGAATATCACCCTTCGATCAATTTAATCCATTGTAATGCCTTTTGGTTAATGCCTACAAAGTCATCTTTTGGTAGCAACCACAGTAGTTCCTTTTATCTGTTCCAGATCTCCCGCTGTTCAGTGTTAGCAAATGATTCCAGATTCTAGTATTAAAAGCTGCTTTTTGTCCACTGAGTGTGATAGATTACATCCTAATCCCTGCCCCACTACTCCCTTTTGTGCTTAATTTTAAGGTTAAGTCAGTGACTCTAGGTGATCATGTACCCTAACCCTTCCAAATAGACCCTTCTGAACTGGTTGGGTCAGAACCTTGTTCCGACACCACATCATTTCTTATTACAACAATGAAATGCGACTCTGCTACAAAAAATCCTTTTTGACTGCTGTGTGCAGAGTGGTTGGTCAACAAGCTTTTTAACAGACCCTTGCAGGCATACCTAACTAAATATGAGAGTCTCATTGATCATTTAATAGCTTATCTTGGGACATCCCTAAACCAGTTCCCATACTAACCAAGCTAGTGGTGAGTGGATGGGGATTGACAGGGATTGTTTCAAGCTGAAGAAAGAGCTGCACCAAATTTACGCACCTTTCAGAAATTAGTACCAATCTTCCTCCCAGTTACTTTAGCATTAGGCGTCAATTAGCAATGGCGATCAAATTAAACCTATGTCATACCTCAGCCTGCTGGGAAATATTATCTAACACTATTAAATTCAGGAACCCCAAATACTTTTGGTTTTTTTTTTCAGACTAGAACATCATCAATGTCCCCAATAACACTATTAAATTCAGGAACCCCAAATAGTTTTGGTGTTTTCAGACTAGAACATCATCAATATCCCCAATCCCCTCTCTCATTTGGCAGCAGTACTTCCTGTCACTCTACTATGATGATTGTAAAAATAAATCCCAGTTTGACAAGGATATGCTCACAGGTGTTCCTGATTGGCCCCAGTTTCTATTGCATAAATCAAGCAATTGGTAGCTTCAATGACACTGTCCAGCCATCTCATCCACTGTTGTCCCCTTCTCCTGTTGCTTTCATACTTTCCCAGCATTAGGGTCTTTTCCAAGGTGTTTTCTCTTCTCATGAGATGGCCAAAGTATTGGAGTCTCAGTTTCAGGATCTGTCCTTCCAGTGAGCACTCAGGGTTGATTTCCTTTAGAATGATAGGTTTGTTCTCCTTGCAGTCCAGGGGACTCTCAAGAGTCTCCTCCAGCACCACAATTCAAAAGCATCAATTTGTTGGCGGTCAGCTTTCTTTATGGTCCAGCTCTCACTTCCATACATCACTACAGGAAAAACCATAGCTTTTGACTTTTCGGACTTTTGTTGGCAAGGTGATGTCTCTGCTTTTTAAGAAGCAGGCGTATTTTAATTTCATGGCTATTGTCACCATCTGCAGTGATCATGGAGCCCAAGAAAGTAAAATCTGTCACTGCCTCCATATCTTCCTCTTCTATTTTCCAGGAAGTGATGGGACCAGTGGCTATCATCTTAGTTTTTTTATGTTGAGCTTCGGACCGTTTTTGCACTCTCCTCTTTCATCCTCATTACAAGGTTCCTTAATTCCTCCTCACTTTCTGCTATCATAGTGGTATCATCTGCATATTGGAGGTTGTTGATATTTCTTCTGGCAATCTTAATTCCGGCTTGGGATTCCTCCAGTCCGGCTTTTTGCATGATGTATTCTGCATATAAGTTAAATAAGCCGGGGGACAATATACAGCCGTGTCGTACTCCTTTCCTAATTTTGAACCAATCAGTTGGGCTTTTTTATTTCGCTTTACGACGTTTTCGCTCTACAGCGATTTCGCTGGAACGAATTAACGTTGTCAATCGAGGCACCACTGTATCTCTGTAGACCACCTGGGCAGTCTACCTTTGGCTCAGTCTTATAGACTGCTCAAAGAGACTCCTGGAGATCAAAAGGCAAGAACTCTTTGAGGCAGCCCACAAAGTATGCTCACCTTTAAATGTACAGTTGCCATTATACAACAATAAATCAGCCTGTTGTTTACATCTCATGGAGAGCCTACATGAACGGCAGGCCTTCACCCTAGCCAGATGTAATGTACTTCCATCCAGCGTCTTATATGGTAGATTTAATTTGCACCCTCTAGAAACATGGCTCTGCTCTGCCCTGGGGCGTATGCTTCTATAATGACATTCGCTCTTCAGACCTGGAATCAACCCTTGTTACTTTTACCAGACAGGCGGATGAGGCAATCTTATACAGTACAATCTTCTGGTTGGTATGGATAAAACCTACACCAGACAGGCAGCCATTTCATTAATTCAGCGGCGTAGAACTCCATTTTTAACAAACCCACTTGTCTAATTTTACTGGATGCAATTAATTATTCCTTTATGTATAAGTTACAGATTATGGGCAATGAAACTATGCACAGCTGTATTTTGCTGGCACTGAGGCTTTTGGGTCTGTTTCATTTGGGTATAGATCTCCCATCTATCTGAGGACTGCTGTTTGCTGTATTTTTTAATGCCAATAAAGGTTATATAAAGTTTAAAGTGTAAAGTCTACCTTTTTCCATGCATAACATTTAACTTTAAATACAACTATTACATCTCCCTCTTACTTTAGTTTTATCTAAACTAAATGGCCCCAAATGTTTCAAGCTTTCATTTGACTGGTAGTGCTTGAGTCCTCTCATCTTAGTGCCAGGAACTGTGCCTCAGCAGAATCCATTTATTATTTTATACATATGTTCTATTTACAAAAATGACAGAGGAACCTACTTAGAAATGTTGTCAGAGGATTCCATCAGAAATTAGTAGTATGGAGCAATCAACTGTTGAGGATGAATGCAGGAAAACAACTGGGCTACATAAATCACTGAAAAAACATTTGCCCTTGTCCAAGCCCAACATACTGCCATCCTCTAACATTGGCTACTCCTAATTTAATCCTCGGCATACAAAATGCAAACATTTTCAGCAATTTTTGACATTTTTGTTTTGTTGTTGTCTGCATAGGCCAAGAGGTACCTCAACCTGTTTCCTACCTGGGCATTCATATTTGCTCCATCTAGGTAAACTTGGCCTCCATGTTTGTGGATTAAGTCACATACATCCGCTATTTCCTCTTCAAAGACACCGTTGGTAGATGGGTAGGTAATCATGATAGCTGCAAGTTTCTCCTTGTGCTTATCCACCTTCAGAATGGAGGAAAATGAGGAGACTGAAATGTGAGGGAAATCAGAAGATTCATAGCCTTCCTCCGTGGTCAGAACAAAAAGCAGGTAATCTCTGGTTAAGACAAGAAGAAGGTACTTCTCACTGTATTTGCTAGCCCACTATACATTCTGGAGGCTTCAGTGAACTTTTCCACCTGCTTTTTCACACAGTTATGTTTGGCTAGTGGTTAACAGAGGATTGGTGGGAAACAATCAGAAAAAAGTAAGACACATCTGCAAAACTGGATTTCTAAGTGAGAGAGGCACCGTCACATAATTAAAATTCATGATAATTGTTTAGCGTGAAAGGTATTTTGAAAGATATATTCTTGTGTTATGTACCTGATAGATACTGAAAGCAGGCAAGTGGTGTGAGGGGATTATGGTTTATGTCTCCAGATAAGGGAGGACTCAGACCATCCTGACCTTGAACATTTCTTGCACCTGGAGTCAGTCTAATTAACCAGCTTGGATGGTACAGTTAGGGCCAATTGTAAGAAGTTACAAGATTGGTTAGTTTGCAGGCCCGTGGTTGGTGGGATGATGGGATTTAAGAGAGCGTTAGACAGAACAAAGACACCAGTTTGCAGGCCCGTGGTTGGTGGGATGATAGGATTTAAGAGAGAGTTAGACAGAACAAAGACACACACCCCCATCTTGAATCACCATCATGGACTAGTCATTATGACATACCATGCTCATGCTATGCTATTTTACTGCCTGCTATGCAGAACTTTGTCTATGAGTGTAAGTTAGAAAGCTAGGTCCCCGCCCCCCGTGGGAACAACTTTATCATGCCTTGAGCTCTATAAGTTCTGCTTATATCGTCTAATGATATTTTTTGTACTCACTGCTGAAACTATTGGAACTTTTGCTATGCTACTTTTTTCCTTTTTAACAAATCAATAAAATTTTACCTAAGCTGTGGGTTTATTCAGACAACTGCTAAGGGTACTTTTCCAGTGCCTGAGGATGCTCAGAGATTTTGAAGCATTTTGGGTTATGTTAAGTTCTGTGCAGGGTTGATTTGCAGTGAGGAGCAACAACTTGCTTGTGTGTTTTGTTCTCTGAACACCCAGGGGTAAGGGACTCAGCATGTGCTAGGGAAAGAAATGAGCCTCAGGAAGCATTTCCCAGCCATTAGTACACTGTCCATCCAGGCAGAGAAAGTACCGTAGTATGACTCAGTAATGAGCGGAACCCCTCTGTGCAACCCATGGGCAAACAAAATTTCCTCACAAGTATTAACTGAAGTTTAAAATACAAGTGGAACTCACCATTGCCTTAAGATGGGCAGAATCAATATTTCCATTTTTATCTACCTCTATTGGCTGAATTCTCATTCCTGCCATCTGAGCACTGGCTGGATTGGTACCATGTGCAGATTTAGGAATAAGACAAACCTTAAGGTAAGAAAGAATTAACAAAATGTCAGTTTTGCACAAGTCATCTTTTGCACAAGCCACAGTTTTAACATATCTCTTTGATAAAAGTTCTGGATATAGAAATACTGAAAATGCTAACCATCAAATCACAGAACTGTACATAATACTTTGCAAATTTATAGAGAAGTTTGTTCATTTTGGAATGGAGGCAGTTAGAGATATGGCAATTTAAAAAATCCCTTTGTTTCATGGGTTACACTAGAGCAGCAGTCCCCAGCCTTGGGTAATCCAGGTATTCTTGGACTAAAATTGCCGGAAGCCTTCACCACTAGCTGTGCTGGCCAAGGTTTCTGGGAGTTGGTAGTCCAGAAACATCTGGAAACTCAAGGTTGGGAACCACTACACTAGGGTTAAAGAGCATACAGCCCTCCAGATGCTGCTGACCTGCATGTCTCATCATCCTTTGCCTCTTGCTGTACTGCTTAGATTCAAAGGACTTGTAATGCAGCAGTACTGGACAGCTGCTGCCACTTTGATGAGATCCTTTCCTAAGCCCAAAGGATGACCACAGAAACAGGCAGGGGAAAAAAAACAACTACAGGAAATGTTGTACAAACTGGTTTTTGTTTTTGTTTTTGTTTTTTTGCTAGGGAGTGACTTGTGCAAAGCTGCTAATGATGGGACCTTTTGCAGGTCACCAACTCATCAGACTGTCATAAGTGAGAAGTGATTTAATGGCACATAACACAGAGAATCTAAAAACATGCCTTTCTGAAAGCAAGGTTTGATCAAGTACTGTCTGCACACTTATTTCATTAAATGAAAATAACAAATCAAAACAAAAAATTCAAAGATCATTTGGTACTGTGGACCTGAAATAATGGCTCTGGAAACAAATAAATACTGAGCTGCTTTTTTATTTTTTAATCCAGTGAACTAGACTGTCAGCAAGCAAGAAACAGGAAATATTACATTAAACCCCAAATAATAATTCCTAATTTAAAAGAACAGCCACGGATTTTGACAACTTTGTCTCAGCAAAGTAGCCTAGCCATGAAATTCAATTCATAATACTGCTTTAATCCCTAAACAAAAGCCTTCTGCCTGCCCCACTGAAGCTCGGAGAAAATGGTAGTAGTTCTGGCCAGCCCCATCCTACCTTTTCTTCTAATCTCTTTTCACTGTTGCTAATGAGTCAGTTCCTGGATCTCTGTAATGAACCTCCTAATGTGTCCTCCAGATAAAAGACAGTGCCCCAGTGGGAACTTCCATCCACCGAGAAATGGAGCAAAAATGATCATTTTCAACAGATCTGTGTTATACTTAGATGCACCCTATGTTTTGGTCAGTCACACTAGTTGTTTAGTGTTCTGAAGTTTCTGGCGGAGTTTCTCAAATTCTGGCCACTGCTATGGACAATCAAAACATTTGGAGTAACTCCCCAGTTATTCTCCCCGAGTTCTGGGGAAGGCAGCATTCGTGAAGGACAAAATTGGGGCCAAACTGCATTTTGGTTGTTTCTGCTCTCAGAAGCACCTGCACTTAAAGCATTACCACAATAACAAAATCCTGGCTTTCTCCCTACTAAGGAGGAATTTCCTTTAATCACTGCAAGCTCTGTTGAAGTAAGAACAGAGATACAGAGCACCGTGGAAGCAAGTGGAAAGCCATATAAACACATTCCAGCTTCTGAGAGCCTGCCCAAACCAGTACAGTATTAGTTCCGGAGGAGTTTACCACATGTAGGTCTGGAATGGACCTCATGAGTGTGCTTGGCAGGAAACAAGGCAAGCCCCCAAGCAAGCATGTTCAGAGACCCTTGGAAAGCGTTGTGTTTACTCCATGGGTAATAAAGAGTGCTTTACCCCAGATAAACTTTCCATTTCTCCATACAGCCAATCACCAGGCAAGTGTGGAGTACAAAGTATGGTTCATCTGTTTCTGTACAAAGGGAGCAAGACAAGTTTTGCACATGAAGGAAAGACTTTAGAATGAGCTAATTAAGCTCTTCATAAGAAGGTGTATGAAGGGGTGGGAGGAACAAGGTTGCCTCACACAGCTCCCACCAGGCATAATTGGGTGTATGCAGCAAACATATACACAAGGGACCTAACCTTGTAACCTTCTCGGATTATACATTTAATATGGCCAGATTCTTGGTCTGTATGGACTGACCAATAAGCCCCGTTTCTATGCATCAGCAGCATTGGGCCTTAGACAAGAGCTATCTTCCCCACTTACACTTCTCTGACATTCTCCTTTTGAATTCAAATAAGCCTTGATTGCAGCAAGTCCAGTATATTCTCCTTGAGCTCCACTACAAAAGAGTTTCCGAAAAGTTAGCAAGGTAACAAAATGTAGCAGTGCAAACATGTCAGAGCAGCTCAGATAAGCATCCACTTTTACAAATCTAGTTAATTAATCAAGTTTAATGGTTTATGAAGAAAAAAAAGAGTTACTAATGTATCCATTAAGGCCTCTGCACACATATGCTGGCTAACTAGAACACAAACATAAGAATTTTTGTCCATGTTGGAAGTCAAGGTCTTTGGCCAGCAGATTAACAGCATCCCTACTTCTGAGTATGCCATGCTAGATCATACACCTTCCGGCTTTCGTGAGGCAGTCAAGAAAGGAAGAAAGCGCTACCATGTTCTACTGACGTGGGTACGTTCATGTAGGGCTGTCTCTTCCTGACCCAAGGAATTCTTCCCATGCCTTTACTGAATTCTATCAATACAGCTTCTTCTGCTGTGTGTGTGATTTCATCTGCAGAAATCTGATTGCCGCTCCTGGGAACAGGAGCTCTGTCTTTCCAAAATCAAAAGCACAGCATTGCTTACAGCACCTAAGCTCAAACCTTTATTTATTCTCAAAATTGTTTTAAAAGGAGATGCTTTTTTGTAGCTTTAGGACTTCTGCACACAACCCTTTCACAGTCCTGTTATCTTTCCCACATAGTCAAAGGGATCCACCCTAAACGTATAAGTATATACGTGGCAGAACAGGACTCCGTCAGGTATGACTAGGTACACAAGAGGTTGTCCTAGATCCTTCTGGGCAGAAAATAGTTCTAGGAAGCCCTCCCAAGGAAAAAGCTATCCAGGGAAAAGGGGTGCAAACAAGAGGGCTCCTACCTGTTCGGTTGAAAAGAAATATTGTCGTAACCTGTTATCTCACACAGATCCTTCTCTAGCTCTCTGAAAAGTTGCTGATATCCTTGAGCCTGATCTAGAGGTACAAAGGGGTGGATGTTGGCAAATTCCTTCCATGTTATAGGCTGCAGAATTAGAAAACAGACAAAATACAAGAAAATGAAAAATCTGCGGGGGGGGGGAACAAGCTTAGGCACACTAGTTATGCAATGCTTACATGCGAGTCATAATTCTTTAATAAGATTTATCCACCAGACAGACCAAACATTATACCAAATATTTTTGAATTTGGCTGTCAACTAGGAAAAAGGATTTTATTGAATCGAGACAAAAAGTGCACATTGTTTTCTTTGTTAATTATAAAATGCTTGTGCTAAAGAGCTCAGAAAATAAAATCACTTGGAGAGTTTTACAGAAATAAACTATCCACAGAGCAAATATCTTAAACTGCCACCTTGGATCCTTTCAAGGAGAAAGGCAGGATAAACATATTTTAAATGTATAAATGAATGAATAATCAAATCTCCAAGCTCTTGAATTTATTATTCCAAATTATTATTCTGAAACTACTTTCTGATATGTTTTCAACCATCTCCTGGTGGAACCCACACAATGGCTGCAGCCCTATTGCTTCGCATAATAAATTGTACTAGAGTAGGCCCAGTGTATCCATGGGATTTGACGAGTCAGTTCCTATGTAAATTGCATTAATAACATATGTGCAACTGGCCTTAACATAGTAAGTCACAACTACAGTAGGCCCACTGGAATCAGTGGAACGCACAGAGGAGTTGACTCATCAAATCCCATGGATTCAATGGGCCTAATTCTAGTACAACTTCCTATATCAAACAACATGTGCCTCCGTGTACCCCTAATGTAGCCCTTCGTTTGGTCTAGTTTCCATAAGAGCACGGGTCACAGTTCTTATGATTAACTATTGGCTAAAACTTACTTTTTTCAGGAGGTCTGGCACCATTGACCTTCTTGGATGCTTTCCAGTCAGACTGGAAATCCTTTGAAGTCAAAGAAATGCAACAAATTGGCTTCTCTCCCAATACCCTTATAGCGATGGGTCACATCAATGCCAAAGCAGCAGTGAAATGTAGGATTTGGGATATAGAATTTCAGGATCATGGAAGCCAGATGGGTACTAACAGTGTAGTTACATACAGTGCTTTTACTTTACTTTATTTGGACTTATACCCCGCCCCTCTAGACAAAGTCTACTTGGGGCGGCATTTACAATGTCTTCATATTTTTCTAGCCTAATGTCCACAAAGATAATATGAGCTTTTACCTTAGCTAGATTGAATATGCTCCCTTCCAAACTTCTGGATGGGAAATTCCAAAATATCCCCTTTTCAGAGTGTGTATGTCCTTGCAAAAGCAACCAAGTAGAAACCGTGACCTACATCCTTTTATGCTGCTATGGTCACCCACAGATGTATGATTGCCAGAGGTGTTAGTTCCACAAACTATACATAGTGCTCTATCTTATAAATGGTTTTATTATGTAAACTGTGTATCTTTTTACTAATATATCTTTATAAGATTTTATTGTATTATATTTTAGTATTATGTAAGATTGGGTTAACAACCGTAAATAAATATTTACTATATCAAACAACAGGATTCAGCCAGTGAGGTAAAGTTCAAGCATTGTATATGCACCAATGACTTCACCAATGAAGGACTATGTCCATATAGATCTTACCAAACAATTCCTTCTTAAGAAAGGCTATGCAAATTACTATAAAGAATTTACTTATTCAACCTTCTACTGATGTTCAAATAGAACTCTGAATCAGGGACTATCATTGTTTAGCTCTCTATTCTAGTTTCAGAAAAACAATGAATTGTCAGAAAAGCTTACCGTAAGTTCTGATGAACTATTCAACTTCATTGTACAGGAACCCTGAGGGAGGGAAAATACAGTCAGTTGATTTTACGCAAGGAGATCAGCATGTACATTTTTTTTCCTTTTAAGTTCATACCTACCAAGGGAATCATGCTGTGAACAAGGGAAATATCTTTGTTTTCTAGTCTCTTCATGTATCTCACAATGTTTGTTTCAGAGTGATAGCTGGAAACATAAAATATTTTGTTAGCAAACCAGGTAACTATACAAATCAGACAAGATGTATGTCCCCCAAATAGTGTATCAGATTGTTAATAATTCCAACAACCTTTAAGTCTCCTACAATCAATTAACCTCTGCCAGCAAGCAAGCAATGCTGCATAGCTTGGTCTGTGCATCTAGGTTTGTAAGCTGTATGTAAAAATGAAGAACTTGCCCCAACAGTTTGTATTACAGGAGCATGATGTTATGCATTAAATCCCAATCTTAACATACTATTGTAATCCCTGGCTTTAAACCTTGTCAAACAATGACCCAAATCCTGTTGCACAACTAAATGAATGCAACCTGAGCTTGCTCCTGCAGTAGCTGCAATGGTGCCAAGGCAGAAGTGCTACCCACAAAGCACTTACGCTGGCACATTGTGCAACTGGTTGTGTCATTGATATGTGACCAATTGCACAACTGAAGTACCCAGTTCCTTGTAGCTGGGAGCAATGCCTGGCACATTTACACTGCCCTAACTATACATTTTATCAGGAGGAACAGAAATTTGCCCAATATCAAGGAGAGCAATGTCAAAAGGGTTGAGAATCCACTGAATTTCACCAACCTGTTAAACACTTTATGTGTGAGGAATTCTGAAGTTCTCTTAAACGCAGTGCCAAAAATCCCTCTTGTTTCTTCATCCATGCCCTCTGCAACCAGTTCCTTTCAAACACAAGACACACAGACATTTAGGTATACTTTTTCTTTTCTCAGATAAAAAGTTTGCTCTGAGTAGTAACAGAGGACTTTCCCCCTATCTCAGCAGTTCTATCTTAATCTTCGCAAAACCTATAGGAAACTATTTTTTTAAAGTTCCCAATTCAGAAATATGGTAAAATATTCCCAAAAGAAAATCTGTAAAGATATATCCAAAGAGAACCGTTTTAACCTGAAACATGTGTGACTGAAAGTTAGACAGTTTGCCTTCTGCAGGTATAACAATACTAAACATAGTAAATTGAACTAAAGTAGGCGCACTGAGATGTGGTGGCACTGTGGGTTAAACCACAGAAGCCTCTGTGCTGCAAGGTCAGAAGGCCAGCAGTTGTAAGATCGAATCCACGCAATAGAGTGAGCACCCATCGCTTGTCCCAGCTCCTGCCAACCTATCAGTTTGAAAGCATGTAAATGTGAGTAGATAAATAGGTACCACCACGGTGGGAAGGTAACAGCATTCTGTGTCTAGCTGCACTGGCCACGTGACCATGGAAACTGTCTACAGACAAACGCTGGCTCTACAGCTTGGAGACGGGGATGAGCACCGTGCCTTAGAGTCAGACACGACTAGGCTAAATGTCAAGGGAAACCTTTACCTTTACCTTAGGCCCAGTGAATCAATAGGGATTATTTATTTATTTAATTAATTTAGAATACTTTAACCCCATATTCCTCCTTAAAAGGACTTAAGGCAGCTCACAACAATTAAAATACAATGTTTAAAAGCTAAAACCAGCAAGTATATAAATATTTAAAAAAATTAAACAAGTATTATATTAAAAGTGGTAAATAAAAACAATACTAAAAGCACATTTAAAAACAGAGCACAACAATCAACTTGGTGAGTAAACTCCTTCTCAAGTTCCACTGATTCATTGGGCCTGCTCTAACAGCAATTTACTACACTAAAAAAAGTTGCAGTTAGAGTAGGCTCATTTGAATCAAGGCAACTTATGGATAAGGTGACTCATCTAATCCCCACTGATTCAGTTTAGCTACTCTAGTTCAATTTAATATGCTAAGCAACAAGATTTTGGCCATTATTTTGTGACTTTATAGCTCTTACTGATTACGGCAGATTTTTGTTGTTATTGTATTTGAATTTTACAAGCCATCTTGCAAGGAGTTATCCGAAAAGATGAAGTGTATTACACAGCTGGAACAGCACAACTAGTCCATTGTCTAGTTGTGTAAAAGCTGCCAAAATTATGTAAGTGATTCCAACTAGACAATTCATTCCAGCCTAAATGGTTAAGTAATGTTCAGTCTTTCTCAAAGTTGGTTTATCTCTCCCAGTAATTTACGTAGCAATAATTTCTTCGGACTGATTCAAATTTGAAAGAATTTTGGATTGAAGTATTATTTGATTGAACTTTAAAGCAATTTAAGCCCAGATCCAGAGGACTGTTCTATTAGGCTTTCAGGCTATGAAATACATAATAACAGAAAGAAGAAATTCCAGTTATACTTTTTGCTGAAGGGACAAAATATATTGATAATAAAATTTAAAAGGAAGCCAAAATTCATATGACTTACTAGAGCTAGGTGAAGGATATGGAGTTCAATTGTATTTATGGTAATATTTTCTATCCCACCTTTTGATCAAATGCTTCCAAACTGGTTTATAACAGATTAAAAATTCCTCCTCAACAGATGAGGCCATCAGACCAGAGATCCTTTGGGTGAAAAAAAATGCTACAAAAAGTAAGCATGCTGGAGCTGCCCTTGCATGCATGCACATGTGTGGAGGAATGGGAGAAAAGTTCACAAAGGAGTGCCATGGGTAGGGCAGAGATGATGATGCCCTGTGTATGTAAGCTAACTGAACACATGAAGGAAGTGTGATGATCTCACTAATCCCTGATTGACTTACAGCCGACGATTCACAGCCAAAAATCCACAACAGGTCATCAAGGTCTTTTTCGGTTACAGTTTCATCAAGAGATACTCCAAGCTATTGGCAATTGGAAGAAAAGAAGGGGGGGGAACAAAACCCTGGTTCATCAGTAGAGAAGTGCTGCACAATCTGCAATAAGCTCAAACTAAAATGTAAGAGCAATACTGTATGTAAAACAGCTGCCCATTAAGACACTTTCAAAATGAAGCTTATATTATGGACATAGTCTTAATTTACGGTAATTGAATGTTGTACATAATGTGCACTATGCTGTTTGGATTAATTCATAATTTTTTATCCATTATGCTCAAACCAAACAAAAACATATAGCTAAGAAACTGCTATACTTTTTTTGGGGGGGGGGTATTCTTTCAAGTTATATTTAATAGCCCTATCATTCAATAGGCCTGACAGAATTGTGCGCTAAATAATTTCTACAAAGCATGCATATACAGTATTAGGTCTGAGGTGGAATGAAAATCAACTCTGTGAATATGAACATGCAATGAAAAGACAGAAAAGGTGGATGTCTTTGCCACTCCACTCTCCACCTATGGATTATACTTGGAAGGATCTGCAACACTGGGCAAAATTCTGCAGGTGTAGGTATGCCCACATAAAACATATCTGGGCACTGGAAATCACTAGTTTACGCAAATCTAATGCTTCATCACCCCCTTTTGGGTTCCAAACCCCCCCTTACTCCAAGAGAAGCCTTTGGGAGCCTTGTGACAGAGGGAGGAGGCCTACAATAGTAAGAAATTGCCATCAGATCACTGCTACCAGTTCCATTTCCAGAGATGGCAATCTGGCAGTGTTTCTTTGGCAATTACAAGGGCACACACATACACACAGTATCCTGAAGCTCCCACAGGCTTGCTCTGGGGAAAAAGGGAACCCCAGGGAGCCTTTGAACCTGAAATAGGGGGAGTAGAAAACATCCTGTTTACTGAAGCAAATGATTTCCAGTGCCCAGATCTAGTTTATGCATGAAGAAGATAGAGCTGAAGATAATGGGTTACATTTTCAACAATTAACTTTTGAGAGTAACAAGGGCTTAAAGAGTGACCCTATATATTAAAAGATGTGACTGAGGGCATCGTAACCTATTGATATCTGACCAGCAACATCTGTTCATCACTTTTTTCACTAAACATCTGAGGTCTAGAAATAGTCTCCCAGGACCAAATTTAGGCCACTTTCTCACCTTTTTGTCCTCAAAAAAGGTAATGGACAAGTAACAGTGATTACAAATCACTGTTTCAGGGGAAGGGGCTTGTGAAAAAAAACTGCATCTAAAATTTAACTTTCCAAGCTCTGGAAGACTAAGCAAAAGCAGGAGGAACATCTCCTAGGATATACTTCAATTACTACTTACTGTGCCATCACTGTAAATCCGCAGGTTTATCTTCCTCTGGGATGCCCTGTGCAAGACTTCTTGGATGTCACATCCACACTGGATTTTCAAGGTATCAAAAAACAGGTCATGTTGGAGTTTATGACCAGCTCTCTTCAGGCCTAGCAGAAACAATATGTGAACTCTTTGTTCCACTGGCAGATCCCTTTTCTGTAAGGTTCTGCAGATTCTATGCCCATGTATCTTTCAGTTGCTGTTATTTTATTAACAACTATGGCAGGATTACTCCGCACTGAGTGATGGTATTATAACAGAGTTACCTAAATTTGTTCACATCTGGTCACAGCAGTGACCATATCTGTCTTGTGCATCACTACATTTCCCTTGCTCCCAGTTGTTTACATATTCTCCAAGAGCGGCAGTGACTCTTCCAATGAACACTTTTCCAATTTACTGTAATACAAGTTGAGCTTCTGCAGGGAAGATTTAAATTTCTAAAGCATCATCTTCATACAACCATTGAATAGACACTCACCTTCAGCTAAGATCAGAGTGGCATTATGTACCCGCTTCGCAATATGCTTTAATCCATGAGCACCATGATAGATTCCAAACATGGCAGCCATATTAGCTAGAAGGGCCTACAAGGCATGAAGGCGGGAGAACAAGTAAGCAAGCCAATCTGTTAATGTAAATGGATTTTTAAAACAGAACTTTAAAAACTTTGAACATTGCCTTTTCAAGAATGTCCTGATTAGGCTACACAACTACAGGTTATAATGACATGTCTGAAATGTCACAGTAGTGATATAATCATTTAAAGCTCCCGAAAGTAAATGTACAAAAGGTTACACTTTTTTCTAACTTCCTAAAATGCCATTTTTCAAAACTGGCTGTTGAACTGAGCAAGTCATTTCCACTTTGTTTTTTTTTCCCCTCAGGAGAGGCATTTTGGCATGATGGGACAAATATCCAAATATTTTACTAATGCTAATAGTTACATAATAGAACAACCACACTGTCACTGCCACTGGAGTATAGAAAGGAAGACATGGAGCCGCCGGTGCCTGAGGAGAGAGCAATGGCAGAATCTGCCCAGTCAGCAGTGCTTGTGCCCAACTTCGTAGCAAGGAGGATTTTGATTTCCCTACACTACCCTGTGGCTGCACCAAGCAAGAGCAGGGGTGGGTTATTCCAGTGTGGCTAGGTGCCCATTTTCTGCCCTTGGGACCCTCCAGGGTCAAAATGCCGCCCCTGTCAAAGATGAAATTGGAAGTGGCTAGAGGTCCACTTTTAGTTTTGAAAAATGGGTATTTGGGGTAGGGGGTGTTTAACAAGTTCAGTAACTATTTTAGGTGAGTTATGATTCCTGAAAACTTTCAGAAGCTGCAATTCTCCTTCCTCCCTCCCTCCCTCCCTCGGCCATAAAAACAGGGAGACTGGAGAAGGGCTTAGAGCAGTTGCTTATAGCCCCAGGACCACACTCTGCCCACCCCTGATCTACTTACTGCTTCCTAGCTGGAAAACCAGTGGCTTAGTTGAATGCTGGAAGCAGAATGATAACGCAGTGGCTTTTCAGTTACAGAACTGCTTATTTTGTGGAACCAGGGAAATCACTCCCCACCCTCCACAGACCTTGCCAGTCTCCAAGATGAAGCCTACTTAATGCAGCACACAAGGCAAGGACTGTCATGAGCCAGTTCCCCAGCACAGGCAGAGGATCACTGTACAAGGGTTCACCTGTGCAGTGCAGATGTTGCTTGTAGCCTTATCCCTCCTGATATGCTGTTCTCGGGTTTGCAAAGCAAGCCGATACACTTCTTTTCCATTAGCATCCCTTGAGCAACACAAGAAAAGATTGTCCCCTTATTAAATCTAAGACAAAGAGGCAGTCTGCTTCTGATAAAAAGATAACTAGCACTCATTTCTGGTTTTAAAAAAAGGCATGGTAAAGCTGCTAAGCCTGAACGAAATAAAAAGTATCACGAGCTGTTCTAAACTATTATGGAACAAATTTGCATGTCAGAGTATCCTTTTTTTCAGTATGACTTGAAATAAAATGGAAGAACTGGATGCAATTTATCACTTCCATATTATATTCCTGTGAGACAAGATATAAAGGCAGGTCCTACAAAGACTGTCAAGCCGTGTGAGCAGCAAGGAAGTCCAAACCCGCCTAGCAAAGATGATGGTTCTTTCATTGCCTCCACTAATGACAGCGTTCAGACTGTATCAAATCAAGATGGTGGAGAGGGGCTAAACATACCATCCTCCTTAACTAGTCTTCCTTAATTCATAGTCTGTATGCTATTAAAATAAAGCAGACTTGCTTTTATGTGAATGTATTTTCTGCAGCAAGATTTAGAAGATGGAGAAAAGCTCAAGGAGTGGCAAACACTATCTTAGAAGGTTGGAATTTTGCAAAACCTGCCAAGACATTCTTCAGTTCCCTGGAAATTACTCAGATTCAAAATTTCAGCTGAAAGTTAGCTTACCTTGTAACTCCCACCATCCTTCCAGGCATCATCCTCACCAGATTCTCCTTGACAGCAAAAAATGCTGCATGTGGCCCCCCATAACAAAGAGGTACCCCAAACCTCTGAGAGCTACCCAGAGCAACATCAACTCCAAACTCTCCTGGAGGTCTCAAAATGCACAGAGCTAGCAAGTCGGTAGCACAGCAGACAAGAGTCTGAAAGAAGACAAGAGGATAGTTGTCAATGTCTTTTACAAGTAACAGTCTATAAGGTAAAGGTAAAGGTTCCCCTTGACATTTTTACTCCACTCGTGTCCGACTCTAGGGGGCGGCGCTCATCCCATTTTTCAAGCCCCAGAGCCAGCGCTTGTCTGAAGACAGTTTCCGTTGTCAAGTGGCCAGCGTGACTAAAGAATGCCGTTTTACCTTCCCACCAAATGGTACCTATTTACCTACTTGCATTTACATGCTTTCGAATTGCTAGGTTGGCGAGGAGCTGGGACAAAGTGACGGGAGCTCACTCCGTCGCGTGGATTCGAACTTACAACTGCTGGTCTTCTGACCCTGCAGCACACAAAGGCTTCTGCGGTTTAGCCCGCAGCGCCACCACCTCCCTGTACAAGCCTATACACGCCAATATAATCAATAATACAAACTACAGTGACCTAAAATATCTAAGAGTCACACTAATCTTTTTCAAATAAAAAGTCAGACACAAAACACATGCAACACAACAGTACATTAATGGCTGGCTTTCATTGTGCATTGTGAACATAGGACCAAACATATTCCCAATTGCTCATATCCAACAAGAGAATATAATGTTGTAGCTAACATATATGATGAGCATGAGGAATTTGTCTTAAATATCAAGTCAGAATACTGGCCTATACTGTGAGAAATCAGATGACTGAATGCAGACAAGCAGATATAATTATACAGAGGAATATGCCTGCAGATCTGCTACCTCTACTGAAATTAAACAGGATGGAGAAGCTATGTATGGAAATTCCTATACTCTAAGAATCTGTTGAACAGGAAAACAGGGTTCTACAGCTGCCATTACAGTAACTAAAACTTGATGGGGACATAAAATATTGTGGGATATTATTATTGCCTTGTTTTTACCCCATTCTGATGGGCTCGTTCAACCAGCTCACTGAAGTCTTCCACTTTTCCCTCAGTATCTGGGTACTGAAACAACACTCCACTGATGTCTTTACCACTGAAGTCCATCTCGTGAGGCAACTTCAGCTCAACAACAATGCCAGTGTAACTGAAAAGCAAGAGTTCAATGCATCAGTAGAACAAACTATTTCCTACGGAATCCCTCCAGAATCCTCTAAATGGAACTCAGGAAGAAAGAGGGGAAAAAACCAAGTAAGACTATCTGACAGAACATTAAAAAAACAAGGGTCTAAGTCGAAGGTCACATTCCCAGTGCCACTCCTGGTTTCTCTGGTGGGGAAAAATTTGCTTGGAAAGTTTCCAAGCTCCCCCCCCCCTGGGAGCAGCTTTTTGTGCATGGGAGCTGCTGGATCGTTGGGGGAGGGGGTACATTCACAGAAGCTGTTTCCACAGATACAACAGTGAGTGTTTGAGATTTACCTTAATCTACTTAAACAAGAACTATTTCTAGATAAGCAATAGCCAAATTTAGTATTCATTCAATCTTATTAGTATACCACCTCACCCTCAAAGAGTATTCAAATGTTGAGTGGGTTTTGGTCTTTGTTTGCTTGTTTGTTTTGCCCTATAGTGGAAATCTATAAAGGAAATCTCAGAGAAACATTACTTTGCTCTAGTCTGCACCACCGCTATCGTCTGAGGATGGCATCTGACGTCAACGTAAAACTTCCTCCGCTTATTATGTCTATTGGAAAGAGAAAAATCACACACATACAAAGCATAATTACTTCAAATGTGTTAAAAACAGTTTTAATTATAAGCCAGTAGGTTTCTACAGTCTACATTGTGCAAGCAAAAATAATTAGCACTTCTTGGTCTGTTTATGATCTATTAGCCAAAGATAACCAAAGGGAACATTCATTTTTTTTGCCTCTGATTGCCAGTTGTTGCAGGGCAACTAAGTCTATTATTAAAGTATTTATATGCACTCTTTATGTAGATTGTTGCCACGTTGCTTTGTCTGTGGATTTCCTAAGACCATACCGGTCATCACTGTGGAAGAACAGGTTGTTTACCTGTAGCTGTGGTTCTTCGAGTGGTCATTGGTGAACTCACATCAAGGGGCTAGTTGTGCATGCACACTCCATCTAGGAACCTTCCAGAGCTAAGCTGAGGTGTTTGGGTGGCAGATCCCTCCTCAGGGTGTGCTCTATCCATTCCATCCTATTCACCTCAGTTTTTGGTCTGCCGTAAAGATATGGACATATTGTGAAAACCCTCAGGGTGATGGCAAGGCCAAAGAGAAGGACATAGAATTGGTAGATATGATGACCAATCATGAACTGGAGAAAGTGCTTCTGGGATAAGTAAATATCAATATGAAAATACGGTAAGTATCTTAAAGATCTAGTGTGGCAAAGAGAATGGGCTGGATGGTCATTTGGAAATACTTGATATGTATGTATGAATTCATGCTTCTGAGGTCAGTAATTGCCTCAGGACATCATTCCATTTGGGAACGGTGATGTAGTGGGAGTGGAAACCTAATCCAGCACAATGAGGAGGAACTCTGGATACCTCCCTTGATAAATAGAATGGAGAATTCACCATGAAGGACAGGGGGTAGTGAAGTGATTGAAGATGCACTTGTAGGGGGTAATGTACAGAACTCCAGGGCATAACCATGTGGACAATAGTGAGAACCCAGTTGTCAGTAGTAATGCCTTGCCAATGGTGGTAGAAGAGGGCAAGATGATCTGCAAAGGAAGCTGAATAGTCAGATCCAGCAGGAAATGTGACTGGAGGTCATTTTCTTATGGAAGGACAGTCAGTTCCACGCGGTGTGGGATCTAATGGAAGATGCAGGCAGAGACTGTATGAGTGTCAAAAGGGTTTGAAAGGCAGCAGTGCTGTAAGTGCTGTAAGTATTGCAGGGCGGGAAGGATTTAGATGGACAATGAGGAGCATTCATTACTTTGGGGTCGATACAGCGTCTCTTTGCTCTGGTTCTCATGGTCTAACTTGTCATTTGCCATTTTGCTAAACAGCCCTAGCTCACTGAACAAGAGGTCCTCAATAGTGAAGTGAATGTCTGGAGAGAATCCAGAGGAACAAAGTCACGCATGTCAGTGGAGGGTGACCGAGGTAAGTGAAGGATTTCAGAGCATTTGGCCAAGTGCCTGGTGGCAATAATCTGCTGACCCACTAAACAGTGAGGCTCTGCTTAAAACATGAGGAATGTATCCCTGTAATCATCAGGGAGGTGTCCTAAAACAGATAATATTTTTTTCCAAATATATTGCTGATAGGCTTCTATGCATGCAGGATAATTAGCAGTCTTCAAGGATAAGGCGGCTGAGATGTAATGCTGCTGTCTCACGGCATCTAGCTTTCTGCCCTCTTTATTGGATGGAGCTGAGTTGGGTTTTGACCTGGATTTTTCCTGCAAGGCATCCACAATTATTCAATTAAGTGTGGGGTGTTTAAAAAGAAATCCACAACTAATCTCTTTATAAAGGTGCTCAACTTTCTTTGAAGCAGAGGGAACTGACGAAACGTACCTCTGTGACTGTTATGTCAGGTGCAGAAGAGAAGGGAGTACAGTGGTGCTCTGCTTAATGCTTACCCCGCTTGACAACGAATCCGCTTCACAATGAAGTTTTTGTGATCGCTTTTGCGATCGCAAAACGATGTTTTAATGGGCAAAAACCGCTTTACAAAGATCAGTTCCCTGCTTCGGGGCAAGGAGGGGGAGGACATACTTAGTGGGAATGTTGTCAGACAAAGAATGGATGGTTACCATGCGAATGGCAATATTAGGATTCCAGCAGATAAAACAAAAACTTGGACAGCTAGAAGGCCTGATTATGGGGAAACCATTAGAGGCTAAACAGCAATTGAATGAAATTGAAACTCCAGACCAGTTTTTATTGAGAGAGATGCCAGGTAACATGGTTGGTAACATAGAGGGGATTG